GAGTAACAGTCATTTGGTTTGATATAAAAAGACCCAATTCTTTACGACGAGCTTAGTGCCTTTATTAAATAGGTATCTAAAAACCTGCATTATGTAGTTATTAGGATCTTATAGGCAACAGATTCTATTGATTGCATCGTAATCAAAATAACTTGTAATGTATTTCGAGAATAACTTTAGAAAAATATACTGGCGAATTCAGAAACTCCTCAGTTTTTAAATTAGATCAGTATATGATATTTATCTATACATATATTTATATATATAGTACTTAGATCATAATAGAATGGTGCACTCGCCTGCGCTAACGGTTTACGCAGGCGGGGCACCAGTGGAGGATGATAGGATGAGTTTGAGGTCAGGTCAGTTAGGCCATCGTTGTAAATTCACTACGAATTTATTACGATTGTTACCAAGGTAACCACGTGGTGGTCAACCTAGTAAATTGCTAGCAATGTGCTTATTAGTCCACATTACTAGCAATGCCCTTCCCCCCATATATATAACTAGCTTACATAATTCCCGAATAGCATTATATGTATGTCCCAAATCTAAAATCTCATTACCAACAACCAAACTTTGTTAGCGTAAATAAAATGAAATCTTTATATCTATGCAATAAAGTTGAAAATTAATTATTTATAAAATGGAACATTGCATTCGGGACGGAGCGAAAAGTTTAAGTGTTTCGTGCCTCTTCAAACTCAACTTATTCTGTGAACAGCCCGTGTCGGATGCTACACTGAAAACCAATATTTTAATATTCATAGCTTTTATTTGTGCTGAATTATGTTTGAATGTAAACACAACATGTTTATAGATTGGTGAACCTAATAATATTCTCTCCGCTTTGCTTATTATTAGGTACAGTATATAATAAACCATAAACCATATATAAGTAAACCACCTCGGGTACTCATAACTTTATGAGTTTTGTATATATTATATTGACATAATATATAGCCTATATCATTCTAGAATAATGTACCTTCCAGAAAATAAAAAAATTACTTAAATCGGTGCAGAATTTCTTCCTTTATCTTTACAATATTATATTAATACGTAAATCAAAAACTGTACCCCTTTTTATAATAATTGACGAAAGAGTGCGGTTATTGGTCGACCTTCACGTGGCTTGTCACTGAGGCTAGAGTGCTCACGTTATTCTAAATTATACATTGAGACGTACATCACTAAACACAAAAGTGATCTCCTCAAAGCAGTGAAGTCGCGATAATCCCCTTTGAAAGTTGTAGAAAATAATCACACGCAATTTTTTTTCAGATATTTCCATTTTTACAACCGACTTGTCGCCTTTGAATAAACGATACAATAAAACTATTCCACCAATCTGAAAACTTTCTTTTGTTTTCGAATACTAATATCAAAAAGCTGAAGATACCATATGTTTTTTTTAAATAATCGCGGGAGGTTGGCAAACGACACGAGTTAAAAGTCAGCCTAAGTATCAAATTTTTAAGAAAAAATAGAGTAGTGTAGAAAGCTAATTATTTTTAATTAAACAAAAAATATATTAAGTAAAAATAAATTAATCATACATTAATATATGAATAAAAAAACATCACATCCTGCCACGTGTTTGATACACATATTCTTTTATTTAATACCTGTGCTTTGATTGTTAGAAAATGATCAACATTCGACCGTAATTAATATAAATTATGTTGAAAATCATAATTAAAAGTATGTATGGTCGAATTTCGACTACTAGGCGACCACTAGTTGGTATAAATTTACAGGATTCAAATGTCCATAATATCTATAATTATATTAGTTACCAATGCCCCGTCCTGGCTTTACCCAGAGTTTCCACACATTTGACATAATATGAAATACTGCAAGAGTCTCTGAAATCTATACAGTGGTTCTAAAGTTTACTTTCTTCATATCAAAATCAATTTTAAGTATTTTTATTACGTAATATAACTTAATGGCTGTATGTGTAAGTGTAATCATGGAAAAAGTAGACCTTATAGGTCTACTTTTTCCAAAATATCCTTTCATATATGTGTATTAGAAATGACAGACTTCTTTTAGAACAAAGATAAAAGAAATAAAACTCATACACAAGTCTACATAGTTTTGTATTAATTATTAAAAAAAAATACAGTTAACAATGTCAAAGAAATGTCGCAGTAAAAAGATCAAAGCAGATATAATGTCGATGTCAGTTCCACATCTTTCACAGCACCTTCATTTTTTTAAATCGGTTACAAACTTACGCTACGTTTTCACCGATCTATCCCAATTTCTACACCAAAATAGAGTTACAGTATAGCATACAGTTTGAGAACTTATAAACATGGGAATTTCTCCTCGACCGACTATTGGCTTAAGTCCAAATTCTAGATTATACATATATGTTGTCTGCAACTGCCTTTGAAGATATTAAGCTATACTATTTTGGTACTCTCTATTACAAGGTACGAGAGTTTATTATGCTGTGATTATCCGGCAGTGGACATTGGTTGATATGGTGAATGACGATAGAATCTATACCCAATGAGCCGTGTTATACAAGGATGTGCCAAGCTTGCAGATTTATGTTTAGTCTATGGATAGGTAGATTGCCAGTGGCGAATAAAGGCTGGTAGAGGGAGCTAAATACTTAGAAATAATTGGATTGGCAGGCAAACTTACAGACCACCTGATGGTAAGTAATTACCGCCGCCCATGAGCACCCACAATACCAGGGGAATTGCAAGTTCACTACTGGCCTCTTATGAAGGAATAAGCTCTTGAAGGTTTCAATATCGTATCGGTTCGTAAATACCATTACTGGAAGGTTTTTTCCAACGAAACTTTTTGCCACGCTCAACCACATTTTATAATCAAATGTGGTTGCGCGTGGCAAAAAGTTTCTATAAAGCCGCACTATAGACACAAATGATATTACATACTATGGTTAACCGCCATTCATCCAAATGATCAGGGTGGTATTTTAGTTTCTCTACACATAAGCAGTAATATGGGCATCACGTTATCATGCCTGACACCACCCATGCATTGCCATTCCAAAGGTCTAAGATGTCATGCCGCTTATGCTGTAATTACAATGTCTAATCGCACCCTGCATGAGTCACAAAGCAAGCGGTTGGGTGGCTGAAATAGCTGAAGTACCCACCCCAGCGACTTTTTACAGTCTACTTCTGGTCCTGGAGCATAGGACGAATCCAAAATTTAACAGTAAATCCAAAGTTCATAAAAGTAAACTTATTGAAATATAGCAAACAAGTAATAATAATAGTAAAGTTTACCCCAAATTTAAAACACACTAAAATCAGTTGGGGTAGTTTCAGAAATTAACGTAAAGTAAAGTGTATATGTATGTAAAGTAAATAAGTTTGTTTTGATTTCTATTGGGTTGATACAGTCCTCGAATAGTAGTTTTTCTCAGAGATCGTTTACATTTTTTATCGACCTTAACAAAGGAGGAGGTCAAATATTGGATCGCTATCGCTTTTTTGAAATCGATTGAAAATAATAAACATACAGACAGACTGACAGATTTTCCCGTTTAAAATATTGATATGGATTAGCACAGATTACTGTAGTGTTGTTTAATGAACAAATCTAATCGTTAGCGTCTTCGTATCAATACAACACTCATGGGATCAGCCAACATTAACAAAGTAAACAAAAATATAAAAACACAAAACACGAACAACTTAATCTGCTTGAATCCTAAATGTACGTTTACATTACGCTTTGTTACCAACAATTCGGTGTAGGGTATTTACTCCCCTGACGTTCGCCACGTGACTTGAATCGTTCAAATTAGTGTTTACATTAGGTACAGAGGTACAATTAACGTTAAGAGGACACTTGTACTCGCCAGACAGACTGGATATGTAATAGCAGAATAAGTAATAAATCGTAATATCACGTTTTATAACTATGGTTTTCATTCTAACTTTATAGCTGTACAGACTGAGATCTTTTTCCTTTGGCAGACAAAGAAAAAAAATAAAAAGTTTATCATAAACTTACTTCTCTGTTTCTTCTACCTTATAGAAGATTTGGCTGCAAGGGCTTGTTCTTTCCTCTTGTATATATCATTGTAGATTATTTTTTTACAATTAAATACTTAGATTTTTTTAAAATACCAAAACACTACACATAGAAAACACCCAGACCGACACAAACAAGCATACCCATGAATACAAAAAATTGTGACGTGCGAGGAATCGAACAACAGACTAAACTCACCATTGTTATTTCAGTAAGTTTAACATTTTCGTTAAATTCGCCTCGCATATCCCCTTATGTACACTATTGAATTTAAAACTTCCCCTTTTAGTTGAAAAAAAGATATATCCTTAGCAAAAACTATTACGATAGTAAATATTGCGTCGCTGGGGTTTTTTAAAGGTCATTTATAATGTTGAGCGTTCCGCTGTTTATGAAAAAACGGCCATTACACCCTCACAAATTACGGTCTCAAAAAACTTCGTACATTTTTTAAAAGTGAGATTGCGGTCGTTTATGTTATCATAACTAGTTTTGCTTTCGACTGCGTCTGCAGAACTGTGAACTACCATGACAAAAAGTAGCCTATGATCTCCTAAATAACCAAAAACACATATAGCAGCCGTTTCATTGATTGATAAGTGTTTTATCTTGTTACTTTTTTAAATTGAAAAATATTTGTTTTCTGTACGATTTCAGCACATAGTTACTATATTATTTATAGCATTAATTTTTGATGGTAAGATCTTAATATGCCTTTTGTGTTAGTATTGTGAATTTCTTTTCGGCTGCTTCTATCTCTGAAAACCTATCAGTGGCTTCTCAGTTTCGTTTATTATTATTAGGAAGCCGTTAAATATACAACAATAAATATAAAATAACAGGTAGCTTAAGGTGACGCCTAGATTTTAGTTCACCACATTTAGAGTATAGAATGAATAAAATTAAACAAAACTATAATTAATGGCATTCTTAATATTTTTTACAAATATTATAAAATAATAGCTATGATCACTGTAATTTAACAAAATATAAACAAAAGTGATAAATAAGCAATTTACTGTAAATCAGAATCAACTGGACGCAAAGGTCTCCTGAATTTAGCGTATAACTGGTCCCAAAAGAGCTTCCTCTCCCAATATGGCTCCTCGATGACATCAAAATCGCTGTTAAGGTACAAGCAACTTACATTATTTGATTGAACCGCAGGCCAGAGACGAGGAAGCAGTGAAGATCGGGTTGGTGTTGGGTTACTAAAAAAAATTTTATATTATTAAGCACAAATATAATTTGTATAGCATCATCTACGTCTACTAATATCTCTAAATTACTACCTTTTACTGAATTTTACAAAAATTCATAAATAAGTATTTTTTTGGTTTTAAACGTTTTGATATTCACTCTACGTCTATCCCATCTAATAAAAAAGAAGATTGATTGAAGCCCTAAATATTTGTATGTATTACATTCATTCTTTCAGTCTTTACGGAATACATTCATTGCATACTGACAAGGTTAGACCAGACTCTATACATACTGTTATGTGTGCTTATAGGCCACCCATTCCATTGTTTCCTCTTTGTAGTGTGTAAATACTACAGCTCTAAGGCCACTGGCTCTAATAGGACTTTTAATATTAGGAACAGAACTTCTAATCTCAATAAATTAATACTTACAACATAAAATTGTATAACTCACCCAAATTTTACAAAATTTGCAATAATTTTTGATACTCTCATCACAGTTACTTTGTCATCCTCATTATCTTCATTTCTAAGAGGTTTATAAAGTATAGCGTGTTTTACTATATCTCCATGACCGGCAATTTTAATATTCTCGTAAAACCTCTCAGAACTACCCATATTTCCTTTGTATGCGAACTCCAATAGATACGCAGGGTTATTGTTGGCATGAATCTCAACAGAATTCAGAAGAGGACGCAGAACAAGATAGTCACCAAAATAGTTTAAATACTCCACTACAGTGTCATTTGATACTGTATGATTACCAAAGTAAAAATATTTAACGTTCTTTGATATTTCTTTTTTTATCTCGATCGTGTCAAAAATGAGGTCTGCTGGCATAAAATCAAGAAAATTTTCTTCCATTCTATCTTTATAGTTATTATCATAGTATTCTCGGCTTCGTAGATATAGACCTTCCAATGTAGCAAACATAAACATTATAGGAACTTTTTTGAACTTCTCTTTAACTAACATTTTGTAAGGGGATTCAACCAAAAATGCTTGTTTAATATTGAAATTTCCTTCTATACATGGAACAAAACCAAATGTTCCATCAGTTAAATTATTGTAGTACTCAGTATTAATTTCACTTAATTCATTAGCCGGGACCTGTTGGTAATATTCGACTAGTTTAGACATATTATTTGTTATTGTTGGAAATTTTAATGCACTTGCAACATTTAATGCTGTTTTAATAGGGTTAGCATCAGTAACCCAAACAGATGTCGCTGAAGCTGATTCGGCTATAGCTCTTCTAAACAAATCTTCACTCGTTTTAGATAGTACTAATAGTTCTACAGAAGCTGCGCCGGCACTCATACCGTATATGGTTACTTGTTGGGGGTCCCCACCAAAATTCGCTATATTTCCTTGTAACCATTTTAAAGCTGCTACTTGATCCTTCATTCCAGCGTTACCTGGAGCTTCTTCTATTCCAAGACATAGAAACCCTAGTGCTCCAAGTCTATAATTAATTGTTACAACGATTATATTCTCTTTAATTAAAAAATCCATTCCCTTCGTTGGTCCTGAACCTATCAGAAAAGATCCACCGTGTATATATACGAGGACTGGTAGTGAATGTTGAATAGTTTCAGTAGGTGTAAAGATATTTAGAATCAGACAATCTTCTTCACCTTTTCCATTTTGTGGACATATAACAGTTCGATTGGCCTCGAAGACACCGTCCCATGGTGCCGGTGGAAATGGAGCCTATAAAGAGAAATTTACTTACAATATTTATTTTTCTAATACAAGGACTGTACAGAAAATATTTTGTCTTGCATACACTTGTTTAAAACATGGACTGTCTAAATAAAACATGTATAAACCACGACTTATCTGTACATAATAATATTATAAAACATAGTCCCTCGCTCCATTTATATTTATGTTCGCGATAATCTCAAAAATTATTAATCGGATTTTCACGCCGTGATTTTTAAGGAAAGTGCATAATTCATTAAGGTTTTGTATTAATTAATTGAAATACACGTGCAACACATCCTCTATATATACTATAGTATCTATAGTATATATAGAGATGGATTTACCTCTATATATACTGCACCGGTAGATTGCACGTGTATTTCAATTAATTAATACAAAACCTTAATGAATTATGCACTTTCCTTTAAAATCACGACGTGAAAATCCGTTCAATAATTTTTGAGATATAGACCCACTCCGGATTATAAATGTTTACCAATTTATATATATATTAAAACGTCACAAGTATTTATACCAAAACACATGGAACATGTTTTAACATGAATATTTTATTATTTCATGTACCTACCTACATACCATCGTATTTACTAACGTTAGTTTAATACAAATATTGAACATCAGTGAGAATTCTCATTACGGGCTGCCCTACTTTACATAAAAGTACATTTCTATTAGCGACATCGCCAATAATGGTCAATAATGCGGCAAGCGTTATCGTAAATAGATAATGCTAATTTATAGTGTTTACAGTGCCAATTTACATACAGCTTTGCCTATGTACCTATATAAAATTGTGATTTTATTTAGCAGACTGTAGAAAGGGGTTCCGGTTTTAACATGTTAAATACCGCATGCCCACCGATGGATCACTTCGCAACGAAGGTAAATTTACACATTGTGATCACCCTGTTCACCTGTAGGCCCACAGGTGATCACCCTGATCACTTGTGGGCACTTTAATCGGAATAAATCTAGGGGTTAAATAATTTCTACCTCAAATTACTGTAAACTAAAAACATATTTAAAAAATAATATTTTAATTATATGTATACATTATTATTACAAAAAAATGCTGATACCTACATTTTTCAATGCAGTCTTCAACGTGTTAAAACACACAATTAAGTAAATAGGAGGATCAATGTAGGCTAAAAGGATTTGTATTCCCATTGAAGTCACAATACAAGAAACCGCGGAATTTTATATAGATAATTTTTATGTCTGTCTGTCTGTATGTTCTTGCTAATCTCCGAAACGTCTGGACCAATTTTGACGAGACTTCACTCGCAGAGAGCTAATGATATAAGGAGTAACATAGGCTATATGTAATTATTTTTTAAATGTTGTTATTTATAATAAAAAAGCGAAAACCCAACAACCAATAACGTAATAGCTAATTACATACATAAAATTGGAGTTACACAATTTTCATCATGAGAAACTAACCTTGAACCGCTTGGTGGCAACTGGCGGCGTCGCATATGGTATACCAAGGTACGCAAAATATTCACCATCACTGGCCACCCGTCCCCTAACAACCCCATAATTTGTCGTCACATCTTTGTACTGAACTCCACTCTTAAACCCTTTAGTATTAAATAAACCATCCACACAATTGGTTAGTACAATTATTATAATATTTATGATGATTACTCGTAGCATTGTGTAGTTAATAATTAAATATCTGTATTGTAGTTAAGTCATTACACCGCAATCTAAAATGTATTCAGTGATTTATTAATATTTACATTCAGATAAATGACAGTAATAAAGAATTAATATTATCTGTATTACATTAACTATATTTTTATACAATAAATAAATTCAATCTATGGTTTTTTTTTAAAAGAATAACGTTGTTGTTTGCGCTTGTCGAAACCATAATACGAACTAGACTAAAAATAAGTTGAACTAAAATTATTTGTGTACATTCCTGTACTTTAATTTGAAATGGAATTAATTATTTATTCATATTATGTATTTAGACCATTACATAGTATAAAACAAAATCGATGTCTGTCCGTCCCTATGTATGCTTAAATCTTTAAAACTACGCAACGGATTTTGAAGCGGTTTTTTTAATAGCTAGAGTGATTCTAGAGGAAGGTTTATATATATAATACATGTACACCCGGGCGAGGCTGGGGTGAGTCGCTAGTAATAAATAATTTATTCATATCATTTAAAGTACAAGTTACATAGTAACAAGATTTTTTTTTAAACCTGGACAATTCACACAGCGCCATCTAGCCCCAAGCTAAGCAGAGCTTGTGTAATGGGTACTAGACAACTGATAAAGTAGGTACTCAAAACATTTTTGTGTAAATGCACTTATAATATACATAGGAAACACCCAAAGGGATACAAACAAATATACTTATGATTTGTTTGTACCGTGTGAGTATTCTAAATTAAAAGAAAAAAAAACATTAACAGTTTATAAAACTGAGGATAAATAACCAATTAAATCATTAAACCATTTATGAGTCTACGATGTAGATATAACCTAATAGTAATCTGAAACATACGGATGTTTCAGTTTCATTGTAATGATGAAACAATCTCAAATAATGTATTATCTATCACATTAAATTATCTTTTACAGAATACACTCACAAAAAGTATTAACGATGTAATGTTTTATAAACCAGATAATAATTTATTAACTTACCTCTTATTTTATTTATATTATTTATATATAACACATTTCTTTATACATTTTTACATTTGTATTGATTTGTAATTATTTACACGTCAAACCTAACCACCATGTTTTGTAATGGTCATAGAGAATTACGACATGTCTGTGTTGTTACAGATAAAGAAATGAAAATATATATGTCTGTAGATAAATTGAGATAACTAGATAAAATTATACGATCACGATTATCTACTTATTAATAATGTTTTCTTATCCGTGCTAATATTATCGAGACAGTTCGCATTTTGTTATATTTTGTACTTTATATCATGCTACCTGTCTTCCAGTCTAAAAACAGATTCATTGACAGTTGAAAAAATCTTGTTGTTATAACGAGAGTAAAATCCAGAACCCCAGTACCAGTTTGTCTAGAAGGGGAAATTTTCTAGAGTGATATAGATTTCACATATTTATTACGATAATGTAAACAAAATTCACTAAGTTATAGGCACGCCGCGACACTAGTTCATCAATCAAATCAAACAGGAGCCAACAGTAGGTAACTAAAACTATTCCAACTTGAAAATCAGTAGTATATTGTAGTAGTCGAAATATGACCTACTAAAGTAGATTCTTTAAGGGTTTTGATTTACTTCTTGGGACGAACCCCTAGAAAGAACATTGATCTTTATATTTCACCTACATATATTTTGTTCACGATATTTTCATCAATTCTGAATTATATATGCATTATCTGTGGCCGTGGTTCTCACGCGATATTTATAGTCTATTTGTTAATCTGATATATAAGCTATATTCTTGCAAAGTTGCATTAAAATCCATTCAGTAGTTCTTGTGTAAGAGTAACAAACATCCATCGATCCATCCATACTCACAAACTTCCGCGTTTATAATATTAGTAACACTTAATCTAAAATGTTTATTTGTTAGTGGCTCCACGCCAACAATACAACACAATATCTATAATAAGAAACACTAATAATAAGGAGCAGGTCATTGTAGATTATATATGGACCGAGAGTAACCTGACATTGAGGTGCACAACAAGTTTGAAGACGTTTGTGGACAACATGCTGCCCATCTTCATGAAGGGAAGGCTGGCTGAAGGGTTTGGTATATCGGCGCTACCGTGGCAGATTGGCGTCATCAGTGCCGTGACCACACAGACTATTAATATATTAGTTTTATAATACCAATTCCTATGTATGTTAGTCTATAAAATAATCTCCTGAAATAATAATAATCTCAGGACAATTCACACAACGCCATCTAGTCCCAAGTTAAGCTAGCTAAAGCTTGTGTTTATGTGTGTATGTGTGTACATATACCTACATAGATATTTTTTTTCTAAATACATACATATTAGAAAACACCAAGACCGATACAAACAATCATACTCATGGATACAAATGTTTGAGCCGTGCGAGGAATCGAACCTGGGACCATCGTAAGTAAGGCGGTGTGCTAAACCGCTAGACACCGAGCCCGTCAACAATAATAAATTTATTAAGTATATTGTATAATTGTTCACAGGATATGTATTGAAGATTATTTAATAGTACGCAATTACTCTCGAAGTCTCAACAAACCTACCCGTATCCACTTCATTCTATGCTAAGGGCGACAATTTTGTTCACAATAAAATGAAAATAAACTTCTCGCCAACTGTAACATATCAAGGTTTGTAAGGTGGTGTGACAGCGTGCCTGGAGTGATGCCAAAGGGAGTTTGGATTTATAGCTAGATCCATAACCAGGGTTGGCACCTTTTACTTTTTGTGCTAAGCGACGCGAATCTTACATACTTCTCTTTTTTGTGCTAACTCGACTAGTGATTTGTTATAAAGGGTTACAAGTCTACACAGTAACAAAATTGGAATTAAGAAGTTTGATAATTTTTCAACACCTTGAATTTAAATGTACTTAATAAATAATGAAAATAAATGTTTATAGTTACATACGCATTTTAGCAATGACGGTCTAACGGTTTACAACGCCTTACTTTCAGTGCTCGCGGGTTCGATTTCTCGCTCGCATTTGTATTCTTCAGTATATTTGTTTGTAAATCTGGAGTACTCTAGTTTTTTCTTTGTACAAAAAATGTATTTGAATCTGTTGTCTAGTACTCATAACACGAGCTCCATTTCCTTTATGTATTATATACTTAAACCTTTCTCTTGAATCACTCAAAGCGACAGCGATAGTGTTTTATACTATGTAATGATCATGATTTTTGAAACAGAAAAATGTGTACAATATTACTGAAAATACTTAATTACAATAATTACATCTATGCAAAGTTGGCCAGTTATCTATAAAAAAATACTGTACCACACGATAAAAAATCTAAAAGCCACTGAAAGAAAAATTATATAATGCTAATGTGACAACCCTTAGCATTGAACTTTCCAAATAAGTCGCCTTTTAGTGTTGTTACATAGATTTTGTGTTGACATTACATGTAGTCTTTATGGTCATGTAAATAAAACAGAGAATCGAATAACAGACAATGTTTAAATGCTGACACAAAGTTTGTTATTTTCTCGTCCCAATAGTAGTTGTGCTTACTTTTTAGCCATTTTACCGTTGGTACACTATTTCCGCATCAAAATAAACTGTCATATCAATGGATTTCATATTCTTTTTCCAGATATTCTCGTCTCAATTTTCTGAAATTTCTATATATAGATCTGATAAAAATTATATTATGAATATTATATATGGTATGCTTTACATTGGCAACACTATTGTCTATGACTGGTCAAAGTCCATGTCTTTGACACGTCCCTTTTCTCTGCTCGCTCTTGGCCTGTCATGTCGTTCGTTTGCTATGTTCATCATCATTATCATTATCTCAGCCCAGAAGACGTCTACTGCTGGACATAGGCCCGTTTGCTATATTGTAGTTGCCTAATTACAGTAAAATATTAATACCTGTATATTAAGACATTTCACTTGTAAATCTATTATAAGTCTTTTACATTATATTTAGTGAAATCAGTCTTAATTCACTACCAACTGGCACCTGCTGCTGCGCTGCGTTGCCACGCTGTAAGATTCCCTCTGCTAAGAAGAACAGTGTCTAGTTTTAAAAGTTACTGGTTTAGTGATAATGAAGCATATTTATATCAAATGTACCATCATGATTTTTAGACGCATCAAAAACTAACAAATGCAAAAACAATCATAAACTAAATTTGTTGATGAAAGGGCAGGATGTGCTATTTCAGGGGATCTTCCGGATGGGGGCCTCGGTGTGTGGGGAAGTTTTTTCGCTTGGGGAGTGTATGTTCTGATGTGTCGGGGGTTTTTTTATACGGCGAGTTCTTCTGTTCGGGAGACTGCTTGGGGTATGCCATGGTGGGAACATGTCCCGCGCTCTCTGCAGGAGCTATTAAGTAATTTCATTTTTTGGACTGAACAATTAAGAATTAATGTAATTTTTTTGCACTGTACGACTATATTATCTCAACAATTCAAGACATAAACTAAGAAAATTAAGAACATCAAAAACATATAGACACAGTTTCACAGTTCCCTTTGCCTCTCCGTTAAAGGATAAACTTTTATAATTTTTTAAATTTTATGTTTTACCTATAATGTTAAAATCAGAATACCCTTTTAATTTAGATATATCTTGGTTTTTTACATTTTATGCAATGTTATAGACAGCCTATGTTTTATACAATGTTGAATTTTAGTACGATTGAAATAGAAGTCAAAATTCATAACAAACAAATTGATACGTTTTTATTTATAATATCTGTAATATTTGTGAGCTTCAGGCTTGAGTAGGTATCTATTGTCATAGTATAAATTCGCTCTGGGTCTTATCAGAAACTGTGACATCAAACATCCTGTCACTCTGTATCCCGTAGAGCAGGGTCGCCATCAAACTTTATAATGCATGAGGGCCAAAGGACCTTATCTAATCATAATAATCTAAGTTCTATTATTTTCTCAGTGGTATTGCCGTTTAGCACACCGCCTTACTTTCAATGGTCGCGAGTTCGATTCTTCGGTGTACAAACATTTGTATTCAGGTATGATTGTCTGTAGGGGTCTGGGTATTTTCTGTGTATGTATGTATTAACAAAATGTTTTTGGTACTTATGTCAGTTGTCTAGTACCCATAACAAGAGCTCTGCTCAGCTTGGGACTAGATCGCGCTGTGTAATACACAGCATCCAGGGTTATAATTGAATATCTTAATGATTATTTAAGTTAGAAACTTTCGATCAAGTGGACTATCAGTTCACTTGCAATTCCAATTATTTAAAAAAACCTCACCACTGATTTCTAACCTTTAAAACTAATATTTAGAAAGAGAAAAGATTTTATTTGTTGTATACATATAATAAATAGGCTCCGAAGCTATACTGGACCTATTTGAAAAAAAATACATTCTGCTTTTTAGTCTAAGTTACAATATTAATACATAGATACCTATTAATAAATAATGTCTCCTCTTAATAACACATTACTTAAACAATGTTATAAATGTAAGAGTCCCAAGCGATTTGATTTTAATCAATACAAAGCTGTCCCAAAGACATCGTTATCAAAGAAAAGGTATGGGACGGGAAACCTTAGAAACAGTCATTTGTTGTATTTACGCGGGTAATAATGGGCCATAAAGAGTGAAATATCCAATACAAGCATCTAACACATAATTACTGGGTATGTATCGTTTGCTTGTTTAGATTTAAAAGGATATTGAAAAGAATAAAATTTTCACTTAAATGGAGTCATTTAAAGAGCGTTACGACCATGTTCAAATGTGCTGTATGTATAGAATTAACTCCCCTTAGGAGTTGACCAGAATCATTAGGAAGCGAGAAACTAACTTCTTATGATGTACTTGTTAACAATTAAAAAATATATTCAAACCAATACACAATTACAATAATAACATTCTAAACGTAAACAACTAGGTACATTTATTTATAAAAACTGTGCAGTAATTTGCGCCCATCTCCAGAGCATTGTATAAGACAATAGTTCATAATTAAAAAAGGTGATTAACAGATAAGTGCATATATAAATTATATACAAATACTATAATAATAATCTGTTGTATCAAATCACAGTTGAAGTCAATATGTAAATAGCAAATAATAATGAAAGTGAAACAAAACTAATAAAAAGGCATGCGCACGTTGCATAATGTTGACCTCAAATTAAAGTTATGGTTTTTTGAATCGATAGGGATTTCATGACTTTGGAATGGTGTTCGTATAAGTTAGTTGGTCCACTGAATTGACCAGGAAATACATTCAATGAGTATGAAGATGTTAGCCTGACAACAAGTCATACTATATCTCTATCTTCTAATAATAATAGGATTTATATCTAATGTAATTACCAATTTTCCAAATAGGTTTTTATTTTACGTTTTTTCTTGTTACTTTCCGGAAGTCCATTTCATTACTTAATGGATTCATATTATTTTCATAATTTCGCTAGCATTAACGTGTGTGAGATCACAAATATTCAGTGCTGAAACCGGACCAGCTACTAAAGCTTCTCTATTAGTGATCAAATTCCGACCGTTATTGCATCGACATCCATATTGCGTTTACGTATTTCGTATCTGAACGAGGCACGCATCATTAGGCAATGAATAGAGCTTGGATATAGCGTGGATGCCTGGTGTTGACGGTTGGACGACCAAACTACGCCTGAAAAAACTTTGTTTGTTAACCGGATTCCACATTAGTTTAGGAGGTTTCTAGATAAGCAAAGATGCCCCTAATAGAGAGTTAGAATCCCTGATAGAGAATAAAACAAATTACAAATAGAAATTTACTTAATAATAAATCATTCCGTATTCTACATCATAATCCATGTAATCTAACGGTGGAGTTCCACTCCGTCTCGTTTTTAAATAGCTCGTCAGTTCTGGGTATGCCGATGCTAACATTCTTGCACCTTCCTTAGTCATTTTCCCACTCACAATGATATCTCTAAACGTGCTGTTATTTATGAAGTCCTGGTTCATAGTCCTTATTTGATCCAACTTTGTTTGCAATGCGGCATCCAGCTTCATCAAATCCAATTCGTGAATATCTTTCACAGACTTCCTGTCATTCTTATACTGCTTCTTTAGATTCTCAACGAACGCCTTCAGTTGTTTAGTCTTCCTCTTACCCGCGAGCGTACGATTCCTATAGGATCTGTTCAATATCTTCCTGATCTCCTTTGTAATTTTCTTAATATTTCTCTTTATATTACGTTTACGTTTCAGTCTTTGCCTCCTACGTTTTTTTCTCTCTCTCAATGTCTTACTGCGCTTTTTTTCTTTTGAACCTCTGTCCCTGTACTTCTTCTCTTCTGAATCTGTGGCCAAACTTGAATCAGCGAATGAAACATCGAATCCTTGATACATGTCATATGTTGTAAGTTGCAAAGAACAGCAAACGAACTGAGTTCGACCACAGAAGTAATCACCTCTATAGATGCGATATTCAGCTTCACATTCCATAGGCAGCATACACGTCCCCCAAGGCATGTCATGCTGGTTTGGATCACCACAGGGAACGCCCCAAGGCCCTTAAATACATCAAATATTAGTTATGCACGAAGTAGTTTTATTACAATAAAACCGATATAAGTTGTAATACAATTAGTATTGGATCTGCAAGCCAGTAATCATAGCATGTACAAATAATATACTGGGAATGACCTAAACTTTGTAGTTTATTTAAATACGTTACAACTAAAAATAGTTCTAGAAATATATACGTAGGTTTCGTGATAATTTATCCATGTTTGCACTAACATGTCAGTTATAATAATTATAACGACACTAAAATACTACAGCGACCACTCCAAATAAGCTATTATGAATTAATTCTAAAATAATAATCACTTACTAGCACCAAGCATGTTAACATTATCCCCTCGAATCGGCGTAGCGTTAATTGCTTCCAATTTCTTCTGTATCCAATGTTCTTTCCACTCATCTTTCCAATTCTTTTGCTCTAAAGAGGAACTTTCAGAAAGCGACGTAGATTTCGTCCTCCTTAAAGAACCGTGCCTTCGCTTCATATAATTCAGTACGGGATCCATATGGTGCCTTTCTTTACTAGCCGAAGGTCTAGCTTCCGATATGCCTATGCCATTGAGATCTACTTCAATTTCTTTAGCTCTCGTAACAATTTTCGCCTTTTGTCTCGCAATTTTTCCATCGATTTTTTCGCCGAGCTTATTTCTAAGAATAGCATTACTTGCAGCATCCTTATTTTCTAATATTCCTTGCACAAAAGATTGCAAGTTACCTTTCAAATTGGAATATATTGACGTTTGAGAAGCCGATATTAAAACAAGCAGGAGAAAATTATGGAGATTTAACTTCATCGTAAACCTACATTTCTAGAATATATGCATCGGCGGAGTATATTTACTACCTTTTGTAATAAACATAAACTAGTAGTAAATACTCGGGAAGCAATTTCATGTGTATTTTTATTATAACAATATTATCGACATTTGTTTCGACTTTAATATATATATATATATATATATATACCTATATACCTAGATAAAATAAGATTTATATTTCTTTTATCTATATATTTTGTAATATTAGGTTATCTGTGGTTATAGGTACTATCTCCAATTTCAATAATCAAAAATTAATTGGTAATAAAAAGATCACATGTATCCTATGTAATTATTCTTAAATTTTCAATCTTAATTTGAATAACTTTCTAATAGCTAATGATTTTATTATATTTATTAATATATGTAATACTGAATCAAATGAAAAAAACGAGCCAATATCACGTATTTTATATTTTTATGTAACTATAGACAGGTACCTAAACCAATATAGAATTGAAACGATTGCCCCGAAACTGTTGCTTTTTTTTTTATAGTTTTATAGATTGTAGTTTTTCTAGTAATTCAGAGCGTTATTTTGAGTTCTTTGCCTATTCCCACTAAACTTACAGACACTAAAACAGATTAATTCCTATTGTTTGAATCAATAATGTAAATATGTGAGCGCGTGCTCATAATTAAGTTCTAGTTGTTAAGTTATTTTTAAGTAGTAGTAACTTAAGTTATTATTTTCCTTATACTATCACACCGCACGCCATCGACAGGGAATTCATTCCCACACGCTAGAACTTATGTGGTCTCGGACAGTACGGTTTCAGAGGATCTTCCTCCCGCATACACTTGTAGGTACACACAGATTGTGGAATGAACTACCTGCCTAGGTTTTCTCGCAAGACTACAGCTGGTGTTTTAAGGATCTATTGAAGTCTTCTTCTTTCTTCTTAAGTCTTCCTTAACGTTTCTTAAAGTGTCTTCTCATTCTCACCAGGGGTATCACCTGCGCTTTGAGAGACAAGAGGTGTCACGTGTTTTTTAAGCGTCTATAGAAACTGTTTACCATGAGATGGATCGTGCTCGTTTACCATCATCGTAGTATGAAAAAAAAATATTTATACACATTGGTTTCTTAGTGCAATCAAACATTTAGTGTTCCGAAACTTCCATATTCAATCAGAAGTTACAAACTAGTTTTCCAATTAGGCACTCGACTTAGTAGTTCCGAGGGAGTAATAAGTCAGTTTCGCTTATGGAGCATCAAATGAAGCAGTACCTAAGTGTAATTATTATCCAAGTTATGATCTGTTTTGTATAACTACTAGATCTTGACAGTAGATATTATATTAAAATCTGTATTTTTAATACTCGGTGGTCTAGCGGTTTAGCATACTGCCTTACTTCCGTCGGTCGCGGGTTCGTATTCTCGCACTGTACAAACATTTTAATTCTTGAGTATGATTGTTTGTAGCCTAGCAGTAGTCTAGGTGTATTCTAGATATACCTTTTACTATGTATTTACAAAATAAAATTTATCTAAGTATATGTTGCTTAATACCTATAGCACGTGGGAGTTGCCTGAAAACCAGAACTGTATGAGGTTGTGTTTATATCAGCAAAGCTGAAACAGCTTCTGTTGCCAACTTTAGTGTTTTTCATTTCTTTGTTATTTTGTGTAATCTATATTACCTATATAATTTTTAATATTCGACATAAATGTTTCATCGATGAATCAATCAACACACGCTCTGCTTAGTTTGGTAGTAGACGGCGCTGTATGTCCTGAGATATTAATTATAACAGGTATGGTAATGAATCTGCCTGCAATAAAAGCATACGCTGGCTGGATACCAGTTAAGAATAGGATGAGCACGAAGTAGTGATATTTCTACTATCAGTACACCTGTATTTATGTTTTAATTTTTTTTATATTAATTGTCAAATTACACCGCCTTATTATCTCTGATCAACTGGACTGGCTGGTAGAGAATGCCATCAGGTATTAAGTCTTCCACGTATACATTTTTGTGTGCGAAAGTATAAATAAATATGTCACTCGATATCATCCGTAAGATATCGTAAGAGGCATCTAGGAGCACCAATAACCATCTGATTGAATTTGGGTCGTCTACATACCCCGAGGAGAGGATGGGTAAGACTGTGGGACGAACTAATCTAGGCCATAGGTTTGAGTATGGACAAGAAAATATGTTAGAACCTTCATAAGCAGTATGTCTTCTTGTAAATGCGATCTTTATTTACCCCTAAAGAAAATAAATATTGTATACCAAGCCCTTTCGGAAAAAACAGGTTAACTAGTTGTGAATGCATAGCAAACAATATCATGCAGAGAAATCCGAATAGATTTGTATGGTATAGTATTGTAACCTATTCTTAATGTTTGTTCACATTTTAGGTCTACATATTTAGAAAGTCTATATCTAAGAAATAAGTAATATTTTAAAAAAATATTTACATAGTATTGTATTTTTCTTAAATTAAAAAAATACAAATATATATTTTTCTATGTTTTAATTAATCACTTCCACAACTGCCTCTGGTCTATCAATCCATAGACAATGATCTATATTTTTTTGTATGGGAATACTGCGTTTAGCACCACAAGTGTTACATGTCCATTTTATAATCTTTGATTTCTTCTTAGTTTTAATTGATACTTTTGCTGTAACATTAGCAATAAGTGTACAGCGGCAGCTTTTACACATTTGTCTTTTTACATCTGGATGGCTGAAAATATATAAATAATGTTGAATTATTAAATATTTTTATAAATTATGGTTACTGGACAACTACATTAGCAATGTTAATATGAAGATGAATTAAATATAAGGATAACAATATTTATCACACACAGAAACATATTGTAACTATCAATAAGAATGGTAGAATTAAACAAGTAAGTAGTTTAAATTGAAAGTTCTCTTTTATGTATAATAAGTTAAGATAAGTGTGTTATTTACACACCAGGTCACATCTTGAGTAGAGTGTTTATTCTTAAAAAATCAACCTTGACCAATCAGATTTTTTTTAATGGTAAACGATGGCTGTCCTTCAGCAACCTTCAATGAAATTTTGGTGTTGATTAGTGTAGCTGTTTCGGAAATAGAAGATAGAAAGAGGAGAGAGAGGGTACAAAGAGTGCAAATCTGATCTCTAAGATCACTCCACATTCACACTCCACTCAAATAATCAGTAAGTGGATATCAAGAGAGTCATAGTGTTTTCTGGTGACTTTTAGTATATTACATTACAAATAGTAAGGTACATATGAATAAAAAATAAAATACAATTAACAAAGCCAGTGTATAAAGAATTATTGTGTACTTAGCATCTGGAATAGCAACACATGTGAGATCTGTGGTACTGTATAGATGCAGATGTTTGCCAACCAAGTTACATATATACATAAAAAATATAAAAGTATTATATTCAACTTAATGTTAAATTAGTAAATTTTAAGACAAACTTACATTTTCAAAACATTTTTCTTAGCAATATTCACTATTAAATTACCATAATAAGAGGATAATCCTGGATTTAATGTACACATTTGTTTACTTATCTGTAAAAAAAAAATAACACTAAAACATACAATTTTATTAATAATAAAGTAATAACATTACAAACTGTGCTTGCTTACTTGATATAGATAGTTTATCCTTTGGAAGGAATCATTTCCTTGGACTTTCTTTGACATTTTACAATAAAATTATAACATCAAAATATAATAATATATTATTGTTTCTTATTTGAATTTGAAAATTTACAATTGACGACAAGCTGACAAAACTTGAAAATAAACCTGGCAGAAGTAGAAGGAAAGATATTGTCAACGTCAAATAACACTTCAGTTAAATGTCAGTCAACCATACTAAAGAAAGACAACAATTGTATCGTTCGGAAATAGAATTATTTGATTCATTCTGTTTACATCATACTTTTTTCAACAATAGATAGATTCAAGAGGAAGGTGTATATTTATAATACAAGTACATTCGCGCGAATCCGAGGTGAGCAGCTAGTTCAGCATAAAAACTCAATTTCACAGTCACAAAATAATAACCCATCAATCAATTTGCAGTCAGTCACATCAAATGATCAAATGTCAATTTTTCTTCAGTCTCGAAGTCATATTCAGAATTAATTTCTCTTATAATTTTATTTATTTTACTATAAAATAATTAAATATATTATTTTGTTTTTCATCAATTACATGCATTGTTACTTTTAATTTAAAATATATAACACGCGTATGCCGGTAGAATCATTAAAATTTTATTTCGCAACAAGTCGGCGGCTGGTTTAGTAACTACAATCTGCATTTGATGATTAAAATGAAAATGTTATTTAAAAAACGTGTCTTTTTTAGTAGATTTAGATTAAAAAACAGATATTTCTCGTCACAGTCTAATGCAGGGGAAACGGATATTGCCTTTTCAAATGGGTAAGTTTTGAGGTTAAGTGATTATATTAGGTTATAAAACCGACATATTACAAATAGATATACTCTACAATAACACATATTTAGTTTCTAATGTAAAAAATAAACAAGCGACAAAAAAATCAGAAATAATAAATACCTGACATTTATAAATTACCTAAAATATTTTCTTACTAGATTTTACCTCAGAGATCATTGTTATTAAAGACTTAATAATAATAATAATCTCAATTAAAGTATATCTCAAGTAAATTGTCAATTTTTAATTATTTTCAGAACAACATTGAATATTGTAACTGGAAAATATGCTCGGTTTGCTGACGGTGCCTGTGTGGCCACTCTTGGTCAAACCAGCATCCTGTCAACAGTTGTCTCCAAAGCTAAGCAGAGCTCCAGCAATTTCCTGCCACTGGTGGTTGACTACAGACAAAAAGCTGCTGCAGCAGGGAGAATACCAACCAACTTCTTGAGGAGGGAATTAGGTAATGCTAAAAATGATTTAAAAAGTAAATTACAGGATTGAAAAATAACAAACTATTTTCTCACTAAAACACATATTTTTCAAAGTACAAATCACACTGCCAGAATGACATCTATAGACTTTTTTTTTACAAAGTACCCACTTTAATACATAATAAATAGTTTCTTCATTATATCTTTTATGTGATGTATGTTTAAAATGTCTGTAACTGTCCTATTTCTCTTAATAGGACAGTTACAAGAGACCACAGACGATAAGACACATGGCCTCTATGGTTTAGCAGTTTAGCCCACTACCTTTCTTCATGGTAGAGAAAATAAAAAAAAAATATGGTAAATCAAGGTAAAAACTGAAACACATCTTAGATAGCAAGCTTGCTTTGTAAGACATGTTTAGGTTAAGCAGCTGTTTGCGGCCGAAATAATAATAATAATCTCAGGACAATTCACACAGCACTATCTAGACCCAAGTTAAGATAGCTGAAGCTTGTGTTATGGCAGGGTACTAGACAACTAATACAAATACATAGGTATTTTTTGTCGTAAATACGTACATATTATACATAGGATATATAATATATATTCTACATAAAAAACACCCAGACCCATACATACAATTATACTCGTAAATACAGTTAAATTATAGTTTGTGCCGTTCAAGGAATTGAACCCACAACTTTCGGAAGTAAGGCGGTGTGCTAAACGACTAGACCACTGAGGCCATCGATTAATTTATGAGTTAACCAAAACCACGTCGAAATAACGAAACATTTTGTTCACAGGTCCAACAGAAAGGGAAATCCTAACGTCGCGTCTCATAGATCGCTCGCTGCGACCTCTATTCCCTCAGAACTATTACTATGACACGCAGATAGTATGTAATATGCTTGCAATGGACGCGACAAACCCCCCTGAAACGATCGCCGTGAACGCTGCGAGTGCCGCGTTAGCACTTTCTGATGTACCTTGGAATGGACCTGTTGGTGCAGTCAGGTTGGTCTTTTCACACTTCACTTTGATTCCTGTAATTACAATTATCATAAACAATTATTTAAAAAGTTACATTTTTTTAAAAGAGCAACACGCAAGTTTCTTACAACTTACTGAGATACGTCTACTTACCTAATAAGTTACCGCTCACATATAAAACACATATGTGAGCGGTAACTTATTAGGAAAGGATACGATTATTCAAAAGTACGCCACCAGATCACGAATGTGTCATTAGTGTATCTTTTGTGTAATTGTATTATTAGTGTAAAGTTTGTATTATCCTAAATTTGTATTAAATTTATTTGAATAAAGATTATATTTCTAGCGATATAAATCATCGAATTTACGCAATACTCCCTACAGACCTAAGTGTTTCATTCATTCATACTTTAAGAGACACTTTCTTTGCGGTAGAGCTCTTGCCACTTTCCACGATCTTCCATCATCCTCTTCATACATTTATACAATACTACACCAATTTTGCCTTTAATTTGCCTAAATACTATTTATTTATTTTTAATTTTGTTTCCGTACTTTAGATTGGGCTATATTGACAATGAGATAATCATTAATCCAACGCGTAAAGATTTGGAAAAGTCAAATTTGAATTTAGTAGTGGCAGCAACCAATAGCAACCTGGTCGTGATGCTGGAGGGTAGCGCTGGGGATATCTTACAACAGGATCTACTGAAAGCAATCAAATTAGGTACGAATGTAAGTCATCCCTGATTTTTTATTGCCCTACTAGCTGACTCGGCAAACATTGTTTTGCTATATAGACAATATAAATTTGCCATATAAAACCTAATGGTATAAAAAATACTTACCGAAATACACAAAAATTTAATAAAAGTAGCTCCAACCGTTTCTGGTACAGGGACTTACAAAAATAATTTTCTTCTACATAAACCTACCTGGATCGATTTTGACGGGACTTTGACTCGCAGATAGCTATAGCTTCTTATATGTATGTTATAAGGAGTAACTTGAGCTATTTTTATTTTATAAATTTTATCTATTTTAAGACTACTTGGATGAATTCACTAGTAACAGCTAGTTTATCTGATAGGTCTTATTACTTTATCGATAGGTTACAATAACATTCTATTGAAATCGTAGGCACCAAAGAAGCACAACACATAGTCAGAGGCATCGAGAAATTACGAAAAGACCATGGGAAAATGAAACGGGAGTACGAACTGCCGTTACCACTGGAACAAAGCATAATTGATAACATTAAGACTTTATCTACCATGAAAATAAGAGAAATACTTAGGTGAGTTTTTGATATATTTTAAATAAAACGTCTGGTTATTACTCAACTAGCTACTAGCCCCGGCTTCGCACGGGTGTACATGTATTATACATATAAACCTTCCTCTAGAATCACTCTATTAAAATAACCGCGTCAAAATCCGTTGCGTAGTTTTAAAATTTAAGCATACATAGGGACAGACAGCGACAGCGACTTTATTTTATACTATGTAATGATGTTGATTATACTTCGCGCGCCAATCCGCTTTCATTCATTCAAAAATAAAAAATAGGATGTATTTTTTTTAACTCAGATGAGTTAAAAAAAATCAGACTGATATCACGATACTTATTTTCTTAAGTTTTTTTTGGGCGTACCTTTACTATTATTAACTGAGAATACGAGCTGAGTTTCTTGCCAGTTCTTCTCGTCTCGAAATCATTGATTTGACATATCATAAAAGTCTTTAATAGACCTACATGAATAAAGATATTTTGCGTTTGAACTTTATGAAATACTAAGTACATTATCTTATATATAAAATTCTCGTGTCACAGTTTTCGTTCCCATACTCCACCGAAACGGCTTAACTGATTCTCATGAAATTTTGTGAGCGTATTGAGTAGGTCTGAGAATCCGCCAACATCTATTTTTCATCCCCCTAAATGTTAGGGGTAGTCCACCCCTATTTATTTTTTTTATGTTAAGGCAAAACAACGTTTGCCGGGACAACTAGTATATTATAAAATTATAAGCTTTTATTGTCTGTTAAGATTACAAAAATATTCAAATGCAAAAACAAACGGTTGACATATCCTTGAAACAGCGCAGTTTGATGTGGTTTGACTTTTAAAAACTATTGTTTTTATATCTGTTAAGTAGTTAATAATGGTAGCCCAAAATTAATATGTTTATTGTAAGTTGGAATAATTATTAAATTTGTAATATTATCACTCCACTCATTGATAAGGCAAATATAAAATATTTAAAATTATGCCGTAAATTGCACGTTAGTTCAAAGTTACGTCGTCCATTCGATCCCGACCGACCTGTCAGAAACTCAATATCTGAGCAGCCGGACTGTAATATACATAGAAAATACCCAGACCGATACAAGCAATCATACTTATGAATATAAATGTTTGCACCATACAGTGATCATTCGCACGACAAGCTGTCCAGAGACATGGCCATCTCTGAACTGCGGCAGACAGTGCTCAACCAGCTCAGGGATACGCAAGCGGATGTGGGACTACTGCAGGACTATTTCAATACCCACCTGAAGCAGATATTTCGGGATATGATATTTGAAAGTGACACACGCTGTGATGGAAGACATTTAGATGAACTTAGGAAGATTAGTTGCCAGGTAAATTAGTACTAGCTGTGCCCGCGTGAAAATAGCCTATATGTTATTTTGATGTATGAGCCATATTATTGTAAAGTTTCATTAAAATCTGTTCAGTAGTTTTTGTGTGAAAGAGTAACAAACATCCATCTATCCATCCATACTCACAAACTTTCGCATTTATAATATTAATAATATTAATATTTTAACATACATTTTAGACTGTAAAAAGTAATCTTGGTACCTTAATTTCAGCTGCCTTCACATATGTTATGGGTACTAAATAACTTATATAAATAAATATTTCTTTTTGTAAATCCATAATATATATACATAGCACCTAGACCAGTCACACTCATCAAAACCATAGTACCGTGCGAGGAATTGAACCCGCGATCATCGAAACTGAGGCAGTGTGCTAACCGCTAGACTACCGAGGACGTCGAATGAAGTCAATATTTCATTATCATTAACTAAAAAGAAATAAATTCCCTATATATTTGTTCATATTTTGTTTTGGTGAACGAATGATATGATGCTAACAATTAAGTTTTATTCAACTTCTACAGGTATCTTTGTATGAACCACTGCATGGTAGCGCGTTGTTCCAACGCGGACAGACCCAGGTGATGGCGACTGTCGCGTTCGACTCACCAGACAGTGCTCTCAAGATGGACACCCTCACCATGCTCACCAGGTACCATATCCCTTCACATGGAAAGACACTAAGTTAAATAGTTTTCTTTTAAACGTAAACTGCTCGATTACTATGTAAAGGGGTTGATGGTAGAAGGGTGAAAATTTAGGGTTGTAAGTATTTTTTATTGCTACTTTGAAAAAAATATAAATTTCGTACAAAAATTGCTAGGGGTGACCACTTTTATCAAGGGGTATGAAAAATAGATAGTAGTTGATTCTCAGACCTACTGAATATGCATATAAAAAAATTCATAAAAATCGGTCAAATCGGTAACTAACATTCTGACACCAGAATTTCATATACAAGATATATTACGCGTGTGTACATATACTTTATATAAAAGATTAAAACGATACAATATTACCTTCTATAATGTAGTTATAGAAATATTATAGATATGATTACTTATAATATTCGTTAGTATATATCATGTAATATTGTATCCCATCAAAAACATAAATGAGAAATGATAGCCAAGTTCAATATTATGATATGTGCCTTGATTGTTGACTTCAACGACAAAAGAAGTGAGATCTAAATGGGTGCGAAGTTCAATGGTCAGCCCTAAAATTTATTTATAATAGTATAAAATATCATTTCTTCTTATAACTTAGGATAATATATTGTAGCCTAAGGTCTCTTACTTGAACTTGGCTTCGACACGCTCCCGCGTGTCTAGATTGCAGTATCTTGTTGGTAATCATTAATAAATATGTGCAGTGGTATAAAGGAGAAGAGCTTCTTCCTGCACTACGAGTTCCCGGGGTACGCGACGGGTGAGGTGTCCCGCGGCGGAGCACCCGGGCGGCGCGAGGCGGGCCACGGAGCCCTGGCCGAGCGGGGACTGCTGCCTGTAGTGCCGCACCAGCCCTACACGCTGCGGCTCACTGCTGAGGTTCTCGAGTCCAACGGTACATATACTCAGGGTAGTTGACAAAAATTGAAAATTCATGATTAGCCATGAATTTAACACGGGCAACCATTTGGAGGTCAACCTGACATGGTACATATGTTATTGTTAGCTCCATCTGTTAAACGCACAAAAACCTCAACAGTGTGAATTGGGACACAGATGTCCCCCCTTTTTTGGTCATACTTCTTGTGTTGAGCTTACCGAATTAGCGGTGCTACTGAAAAAAAATGTGATGACTATTCAAAAGTGCTTCAATGTAAGGGTATTTGAATAAATTATTTTCTATTCTATTCTATGGTAACGAAATCACTCACGGGGCTTCGAATTTTGTTCGTCTATGTGTTCACTTACTTATTACGCTTCATATTATATGTAACTTACTTAGCTACTTATATGTAAATTTTTAATTAGTAAAAGATAAAGAGGTACTGTTTTTAAAATATGGTTAATCATTCGTAATAGTCAACAACATAATTGAATGCAAGGGGAAGGACGCAAATAACTATTTTTTCTTCGTTCTCTGATTCTTCAGAGAAATTCCAAGATAAACTCTTTCCTTTGAGAAGTCATATTGTTAATGTTCACATTTGTTTTGTTATCGTATATGAAACAAACGAGCTTACGGCTCACCTAATGGTCGATGATTATCGCCATCCATGAGCACTCGCATCACCAGAGGATCAATTGTGTTGTAACTGGCTAATCAGATATGTATTTTATATTCTAAATTTGTATTTAAATTTATAGTTCTTTTATATTACATTCTTGTTTTTGATACTTCAATTCATTCTTTCTGTTCCTAATATGTTAGTCTATTATTAATATATTTTCTCCATTTTACCAAGTCTTTTTTCTTATTACTACAACAAATTGCAAGTGTGTTGGCGGTCTCTTAAGAAAGATTAAGCTCTTTTCTTGGAAGTTTAAATGTCGTATCGGTTTCGACACGGTTGCTTAAAATATTTGTGTGTGCAGGGTCTAGTTCGATGGCGTCTGTTTGTGGCGGCTCGCTGGCGCTACTGGACGCAGGGGTGGCGTTGTCGGCCCCGGCTGCAGGTGTGGCCATCGGCCTCGTGTCGCGGTACGAAGGTTCGAACCTCGCCGACTACAGAATACTGACTGATTTGTTAGTGAGTCCGCTTGTTATGTCTCTATATTTAATAATCCTCCATGGTTCAGTGGATTAGCACACCACTTTACTCGTAAAGGTCGCGGGATATAATTTTATATATATTCCCTGCACGGTACAAATATTTGTATTCATGAAATTGATTGTCTGGTCTGGGTTCTTTTATGTATGTTATGTATGTATTTAGAAAAAAAAATAACTAAGTGTTTATTAGTTGTCTAGTACCCATAACACAAGCTCTACTTGCCTGAGATATTCATCAACTGTTTCTTCCTTATCTCATTCATTTGTGGTCAACATAATATGTTTTTCTCTTCCATTCATCCCAGTTCGCAGTCATATTATTATTTACTCCCTTTCTTATAATATCATCTTTGGCACAGTCCATCCTTCTCTTTTTCTGCCTTCTGCCCTTATCTTATCTTCTGCCCATCCACATTCATATGTAATAGCTTCCTTAACTTACCTGCGATATTATCAAAACAAATCTATCATCAGTTTTGGAGTGTATTCAAACTAAAGAGAACTGACAAGGAATTCAGCTCTTATTCCTTTCAAAAGAGGCTTGTACATAATTACAATAATTAAGATTCATATTTAAATTCAATTAGAGAGAATATAGTGACCACCAGCATATGTTGCATTATATACCAGACTAGCTGTTCCCGCGACTTCGTCCGCGTGGAATTAAACTTTATTTTTCTAAAATAATAGTAGCCTAACTTACTCCTTATTACATCAGCTATTTGCCAAAAAAAGTCCCGTCAAAATCGGTCCAGCCATTTCAGAGATTGGCCGGAACAAACAGACAGACAGACAAAAATTAATAAATGTTATTTTGGTGTATGTAACGTATTTACATATGCATGTAATAAAAAACGATTATTTCAACATTACAAACAGACACTCCCATTTTATTTATATGTATAGATATATATAGAAAAACTAGCTGTCCTGGCAAACGTTTTTTGCCTTAAAATAAAAAAAAATTGGGGTGGACTACCCCTAACATTTAGGGGATGAAAAATAGATGTTGGCCGATTCTCAGACCTACTCAATACGCTCACAAAATTTCATGAGAATTGGTCAAGCCGTTTCGGAGGAGTATGGGAACGAAAACTGTGACACGAGAATTTTATATATAAGATGTAAACGATATTGTATTCCACCAGGGTATAGAAGATTACATGGGAGATATGGACTTCAAAGTAGCAGGAACGAAGAAGGGGATCACAGCGCTCCAAGCTGACGTGAAGATACCAGGACTGCCTCTCAAAGTAGTTATGGAGTCAGTGCAAAAAGCTTGCGACGCGAAGAGCAAGATCATTGATATTATGAATCAGTGTATCGATAAACCTAGGTAAGGATTTCATGTTTATTTTTTTAAAAAGAATAATAATATATAAGGAATATTCACACAGCGTCCAAGGATTTTGTTTAATTTTTTTACATCTATACTACATATAAATAAAATTGGAGTGTCTGTTTGTAGTATTGAATTAACCGTTTTATACTGCATCCATATGAATATAAATACGGTACATACACCAAAATAACATTATTTACAATTTTTGTCTGTATGTCTGTTTGTTTCGGCTAATCTCTGAAATGGCTAGACTGATTTTGACGGGTAGTTGATGTAATAAGGAGTAACTTAGGTTACTTTTATTTTGGAAAAACAAAGTTAAATTCCACGCGGACAAAGTCGCGGGTACAGCTAAAATAATAATGTATTAAGACAATTCACACAGCGTCATCTAGACCCAAGCTAAGCAGAGCTTGTCTTATGGGTACTAGATAACCATACACGAACTAGATAAAGATACACGAACAGGGATTGAAAACAAACGGGTATCGCAATTACGACGGCCTGAGAGGAGGTCGGAATCCCTAGCGATGCCCTCAGTCGAGATTGGCCTTCATCCTTCAGTCCTTCCTTTGGTTTGGAGTGCCATCTGCACTCGCCCCCTATCCAGTCTCGCTCACTGTCCAGTGAAAATGTAAAGGTCAGCTGCGGATTGAACAGGGACTGGTGTGTACACTATACAGATTCAAATTACAGTATATAGTAAACTCGACTGAATTTCTTATTATTATCTTTTAAAGAAACCAGTTTATTTACATTTACTGCAGGAACAATTATTGCCATGCACGCCCGACATTGTCTCGTTTCTGTGTATAAATGGTGATTATTTAACTGCAGACAAACGCGCAAGGAGAATATGCCTGTGATAGAAGAGATGCAGGTTGAGGTCCACAAGAGACCGCGGCTGGTCGGACTCGGGGGTATCAATTTAAAAAGGCTGTATGTCGAAACTGGAGTGCAGGTTTGTCAGACTACTCGTTTGATTCTAGTCAACCACAACCAAAAGAGTACCCTATCCGTTCAACCGCTTTCTGTTTTTATCAAAGGCTTAGTTGGTAGAGAAAGCTATATGGCATTAAGCTCGTTACTTGAACATATATGACATTCTTGTAATGAGAGCTTTCCGAAAGATGGGTAGGTTATAGGTCGAGTGCACCTTTCCATTATGCATAGAGTATAATATTATTTAAATAAACTTCAGGTCTCAAGGATTTTTTAATAGTTATATTTATTTCTATAACCTATCCATCTTTCTTTGCGCAACTTAAAAGCAGTTAAATTTATCGGTTTAATACATTTTTTTAACCAGTAAATTTTTTTTAAACTATAGTATGAGTGTTGAAACTTGTAATAACAAACTTTATTTTAAATAATTATCAGCCTCGAAGGTCTAGCAGTTTAGCACAGCTCTATAATTTCTATAGTCGCTGGTTGTTACATTTTTTTTGTTTTTTTTATTTTATATAATGATTACTATTAATATATAATTAGAATAGTACATAAGACATTAATTATAAATTATAATATTATATAGATTATTCAATTTTAATATACCCAAAATTTGCATGCCCGTAAATTGGGGCAATTAAACAGTTGCCAATAATATTATTACCTGGACATATTACCGAATATCTAACTGTATAATACATAAATAAATTTCATTTATTTTCATTTTGATTCCTCACATACAAATATAATGATACAAGTAAATATTTGTATTCATGAGTATAATTATTTGTATTGGTCTGGTAATGTTATACATATATTTACAAAATGTATATGTAATGAAAGAACTAGTCGTGTAATGGCAGATATTCTAGTATTTGTTAGTTAAGTTATAAAAGTTAAACATAAGAAACCTTTATTCTGAACAAATGTTCAAAACAAAAATGTATTGAAACCAATACATTTTTGTTTTTTGTTACATATGTTGATTGTTCCAATTATACTTACGTTTCGACTTGCAACACACAAGTTTCTTGCTCGTTCTTCTTGTGATGAGCCAGGTTTCTGAACGAGCGGTAGATAAAAAAAATTGTTATGACTATTCAAAAGTGCTTAAATTAAGTATATTTGAATAAATGATTTTATATTCTTTTCTATTCTATACACTATACAGTCTATTTATTTTTAATATTTTTAGCACAATTGTTCGATAATTATATTGATCTATGTTTATTTATTAATTAAAATGTATCCCGCCGTACGAGAGTGCCTTGTGGCAAGGCCCCAGTTAAGTTACAATATTTATTAAAACTTTTCTTCAATACTCTAGGTGACTCCAGTAGATGAAACTAAGTACACCATATTCGCACCATCTCAAGCAGCCATGGACGAGGCGAGGGCGCGTATAGCCGAGTGGCTGACGACAGAACGGACGCCAGAACTTGAATTTGGTGCTATATACAAAGCCAAAGTGGTCGAAGTCAGGGATATTGGAGTATTAGTAACGTTATACCCAAGTATGCCGCCAGCTTTAGTTCACAATTCACAATTGGATCACAGAAAGGTATTTTTTAATTATATTTAAAGGCTTACTCCCCGCAAAATACATTGGCTTCTTCCTTATCCCATTAATTTGGGGCCGGCGTAATATGTTTTTCCATTCATCTCTATTCGCAGTCATCTCTATATTTACTCCCTTTCTTATATCATCTTTCACACAGTCCATCCATCTCTTTTTCGGCCTTCCTCTGCCCTTATAACTATCCACATTCATATGTAACAACTTCCTTAAAATATTATCTTCATTCCTACGCATTACATGCCCATACCACGACAGACGATTACTCTGCAACCTCTCCGACACCGACAACATACGTCGCCTTAAAAGGCGTAGGTTACTGGAACCCGATGACGAATCAGGACCACCTAAAGAGACGATGATTCTGCTAGGAATCACACTCTACCCGCAACGTAACTTGTACCACATCTTTTCATAGCCTTCGACTGATTGTAAGATAGACATAAAAAAAATAATGGTTTAAAACCTATAGCACTGCAATCTGCATAGATCTATTGTTTATAGATCTTATTGCTCATTGTTTTTTAGATTCTGCTACCTAGGCCCGTCAGGAACAAGAATTGAAGGATATTCTTAGAAGCGATGATTTGCATCTCCTCAGGATAGAGTGTGTACTTTTTAAAGGAGATATTTTGTTTATGCATAAGTGGGCTACAACCACGTGGGATGTGTGGCGTTTCTTCTTTCATTTGGCAAAATCAAGTTGCCTACCCAGTTAGCTATAAGTTTAACTTTAAGTTTGTCGACGCTTCACCTTACGATGGGTAGGTAGGTGGCGGAAACAAAAAAAAATAAAAAATTAGAAATTGGAGGGAAATAGTACTAAGTTGTTTATACAGTTCTTTTTTATTGATGACAGATAATGCACCCATCCGCGCTCGGTCTGGACGTGGGCTCCGAGATCCAGGTGAAGTACTTCGGGCGGGATCCGGTGTCCGGGCAGCTGCGACTCTCCAAGAAGGTGCTCACTTCACCGCCACCAGCACACGTGAAGAAACTCGACAAGAGCCTCGACTGAACCTATAGAAATACTGTGATAGTGTAGATTAAGAACGTGTATACATATGTACTATGTTTATTTAACCCAGGACAATTCACACAAGGCCAAACTAAGCAGAGCTTGTATTATGGGTTGTAGATAACTGATATTAAAACATAGATTCAATTTCCCTTTTTGTAAATACGTATATAATATACCTAGAAAAAACCCAAACCTATACAATAATACTCAGGATTACAAATTTTTGAATCGTGCGAGAAATCTAATCCGCGACCATCGGTACCACGCTAAACTAGACCAGATAGACTTTGTACAAAATCGACTGCATCTGATATAGAGATCTCGCCTAATTCATCCACCAAACAGCTTGCAAAGTAAGATGTCCTTCGATTGACGGAAAGATAAGGCAGTAAAAATTACGCGATAACCGATCCTCCATCCAATTCAAACGGGGATCGATATTACAACGGTCAGAATCGGTGTTCGAACCCTTAACGGTGCCCTCAGACTAAAGTCGTATCCGTCAGGCGGTAGTTGGCTTTCAGCCGCTCCATAAGTCCTTCCGCACGTTTGAAGTACCATCTGCACACGCCCTCTATGTCCGGTGAAGCTATAAAGGCAAGCAGCAGCTGGCAGCATTAGAGTAGTCCGAAAAAAGGGTCACCTTCTTTTACATAAAAAAAATATTATGAGGGTACTTGCTTTGGACTCTTGTTGATTCAAGTTTGTATCAAATTGATGAATCACAATCTGTGTTCAATTATAAGGAATGTGGCAAGGAATCTCGTGGCAATAATTCTTGCTTCTAAATATTATAGTTTAGGATATTAAATTGGAATATTTACATTGTATGTACTCAATTATGCAATAGACTATTTGTTTTGTATTGACAAAGTGAAAGGAAGGGTAGAAGTGAAGAGGAAACAAAAGAAATAATAGTAATTATAGTACAATACGTACTTTAGGTTTCACTTTTACACAGTGTAATAAGGAGTACATTTCAAATAACAAACATGTTTTATTGTTAGTTAAGCAAATTAAGTTACTATTAAATTTGTTAAAAAATATCAATGTTTCGATATTTTGTTAAATATTTTATTGTATTTGGTATGTTTTCATTATTATATCTATTTATTCACATATATAACATATTGTCAGTGTAGTAATAATTCATTGATAGAAAATATCGGTTATGTATAAAAAACTGTAATTTCTCCAAACCAAATAAAATTCAACCCATATACCAATTAATTTCCGAAGGGCGTCGCAAACAAATAATAAATATTATTGAGATTCTACATTCTTTGAAGTTTATTTTTAATAGTCTATACAAGACAGATCTGAAACAATTACTGTCAATACCGTATGTATATTTGACATATAATTTGCTTTCTTTTGTAATTAAGTAACATCTAAATTTTCACCATTACTATTCATGTAAAAATCTTATTCATTACTTTCTTTGACCGAAATGAATAAAAACTGTAAATGTTTTTTTATTAATTACTGGTGATTGATCGGAATACAAAGTATCAGAGGCATGATATCTTAGTTCACTTTAGTGTCAACGCATGAGTATGATTGCCGGTTTTACAAGATAACGTCATCTCCATACTGTTCAATAGACACCGGTTACCGTTTACCATTATTTATTATATTTTATTTATTACCATGATTCTCTTGTCGTTATGACGTAAAATTGTCGATAAATCCTTACTAATAGTGGAAATGTGGAAATAGAGATGTTTATTTTGCTTTCACGCAAAAACTACTGAACCAATAATCATATATTTTTAATTTCATGGATTCAATGCGAGCGAAGCCGCGGGTAAAAGCTAGTAGAAAATAAAACAACCAACCAATTATAATTGTATATTGAAAGATAATCTGTACAATCTAGAAAATATTGTATCACAAGGACGTTTGTCGAAAGGCACTACGTTATACCAGCGCCAGACCTTTCCTATTAATTTTATTACAAATTGTACTAGAAAACGGTTCACAAGTTACACTTACAAATGTATCGATAACAATTAAACATAATACTTTTAACAGAACAGTAATTAACTGGCGATATTAAATTATCTTGAAATTCTCAGAATCACAACAAACCTTTCATGTGATATACATGATAAATAAAATAAATAAAAGTCTATTTGTATTGTGTATTCACAAAACTTAACAGTTAACGCTGGACATTTCTCTGCGTCATTGACTTGTCGGTTTGCAACGCAACGTACATCAATTTCAATATAATACAGAATAATGCGGTAAAACAGAGAAATATTCGCAGTGTATTGTACTTGTAAAATATAAAAATAATACTCTTTCATTTAAATTTTATGTTGTGAACACAGTTCGACAATTTCACTAGTTTTCTTATAACGTGTTTTTAATTAGATTTAAGTATCGTGCATTGGCGCTATTCACAGTTGCCAGTAAGACTAGTATTAAACAAAAACTGGCATATAAAACGAACTACTTACAAGTGATCAAAATAATGAACAAGTGAGCAAAAAAAAATGTACATACTAATTGCCCTTTTATCAGATACTTAGAACGAAATTATTTCATTACAGGTTTTAAAATAAACTGAAATTATTTACAAAGTTTCGCTTACTACTCTGCCTACTCTGTTAAGGACTAGACATGAAAATAAATAAATAGGTGAACTCCAATCTTTTGTTCGTTATATATTAATGATAATTAGATAAAAATCTAAGTAATTTACAAGGAAAATATAGATGCCAGATTTTACAATATAAAAAAAATAAACCATTTTCTAGTACCCGTTGCGAAGGCCCAGCATCTTAAAATCTATTAACAAAGAGATTGTCAAAAAATAAAGGAATCATTAACAAGACTTCCTATACATTAAACGATTAAATACGTAAAAAAATATTACAAAAAAAAAGAAACGTAATAATTAACATGTCAAATTACATTTTAATACTTGCAGTCTTTGATTTCGTTGTGACTACCAGCATTGCATCAACATAATTAATATATTATTTATCATTTATTATTTACAATATATTCGACTTTATAATTAATTCAAATAGGAAATACTCTGCGCAGAGCGAAATAACTAAAGACACCTACTACCGTGCGAAAGAGATAATACGATGACAACAGATTGTAACAAATAGCATTGCAATATAGTGTTCATGAGACAGTTTGTATACACGACATGCTATTTGCAGCTTTATTACATATACATATAAAGCTTCCTCTTGAATCACTCTCTCCATTGATAAAAATTTCATTAAAATCCCTTGCGTAATTTAAAAGATCTAAGTGTACTTGAGCGGCAGCGAATTCATTTTATACTATGTCAAAAATGTAGCTAATCTGTAGTTCTTAAGAAATCGGTCTTCAACTGGTACTGTGACGTCATACTGTACCAGATGAATGAACCGGTAGAGTGTTGTTGAAATATCATTCTCTAAAACTGACTAAACTTTTCTAAATTTAGTGATTATCATATTTGAATAGTATTTTATCAAATTTGAATTTTAGAGAAAAATCAATGTTAAATTTGTATGTTAATTTGTAGTAATTTAAAACACTATTTTTGAGAATGTTTTCAAAATTTAATTGTAAATCATTACTTGTATCTTTTATAAATTCTTATTATTGTTAAACTACAGCGATTGCTGATACAAACTGTCTTTTGAAGAGTCTGATATTACACTCATTCGTCTGTGAACGAGTTCTTTATATAAAAAAAAATACCGAAAGTTCTATATAAACTGTATATGTAACAGAACATTTTAGTATTAACAAATGAGATCAACTAACTTGTACAATTGCCACCGTATAGCGTTGCAGGCGTGCAAACCACGAATAACATAAAGACTCCAACAATCACTAACATAAAACGTCAAAGAAAAAAAAATGGAATCATCCATACTGTAAATATTATGCTTCAAAGTGATTTTTACTTAAATGGCATTTTCTAGATTCAGAGTTTCTCAAATTAACATCTGTAAGTATACATCTTTGCACTCCCAATTTTATTAAAAATCACAATTATGTTCAAAGTTTGAGAAACTCTGAACTAGTTCCAGCGTTCAGGTACGCTCGTAACAGTAAAAATACACCGGTCATTGATTTTGAAAAATCAACTGCGTTCCATATCAACGCAATAATTCAACATTCTCGTCACTTGGCTGGCAAGACTTTGAGAATACCTGGTCTCATTATACTTAGTTCTAAATTTAGACAAATCTACATTTTAGAGAGGCGTTAGTTCTTATTATATTTCGTTGGCAAGACTCATATTACGGTGTTAGTTTAAAACATATTACCCACTTGAAAATACGATTGGCAATGAAAGAGATAACAAATATAGTATAATTTATGTTAGAGCGAGATAGGTATGCGACTTTATAAGTCTCGTATTATTTCCAAATGAAACAGTTCCTATTTACAAATATTTGCAGTTTTTACAAATATATGTGCTGTGGAACTAGAAAACAATAAATGTTATTATTTATTGTTTTAATAAACTTATCATATGCATATCAACATATCAATATTTAGTTTTTTTTAATCTCGCACTAAACATTGCCAATCTATACTTCAAAAGATAATACATCTATGACATATAGCCTCTTTATTTCAGCGCTGTTTATTACATGATCATGTAACTATGACTAAATGTAATATTGCACTTTAAATGCTCGTTATAAAACACATGTTCCAACGCCGCATCTTTTCAAATATGGCGGCCCAATCCCATAATTTTTCATGATCAACATGCGCCATCTTTGTTTCAAGAGTGTTCACTACCGAAGTGAATACTATAAGTAGTATTTCTGTTATTATTATGAATGACATAGAAATTGCTTGGATAAAAAACTAGAACGTTAATGACAATATTTTACTCATATGTGCGTCGTGGGAGAATCTAACCTTAGACGCTCGGAATTATGGCGGTGATTAAACCACTAGACCATCGAGTCAGTCAAATTTTGAATGGAACACATTCTACGACAACGACAAGCAAAACGTTCATAGTTCATTATCAGAAGAACTTCTGTCGTGCCCTTTATGAACAAGGCGAGGCGAAGAGGATTGTTACTAATATGGACTAATAACCAGTAGGCTAACAATGTACCGTGTCAGGTTGAACTCCACGTGGCTACCCCTGGAAACCGCAGTGATAAATTCATGGTGACCTGACCTCATGCTCATCTTATCCTCCACTGGTGCCCCGCCACCATTACATTATCATCCATAAGACCTGAACAAGGCGACCGACTGTGTCTGTGAAGTTGCTAAGTTCAAGTCTATTTAGGTTTACTATTGACACGACAGAAGAACTATTTAATAATTATAATTATTCATAAATTATTAAAAAATATTTCTTTTTTCTTCGTCAATTTACGGCTTCGGCAGTGAACGCTATTAAACATAAAATTTAGTCGTTCGTTCCGAAATGCAATGTGAATTGAGTATTTCAATTTCGAGATGTTTCCATAGACTAATGAAGTTTGTTTCTCTATGACGTTTGAAGAATCCGTTGGACGTTTCAATTAATATTGTATACATATATATACTCTGTTAATCTCTTATTATCAATAATCTTATTGTAATCATAAGGCACAAGCTATATAAGGCTCAAATAATTTATACCGATTCTTTGAATATTTAAGACATGGTTTGTCACCATGTCTATTAAAAATACCTAGGCCAACACTATCTAATTGCAAATGGGATAAAATATGTATTATTTGCCACGTTTATAAATTGGTCATCGTGCTTTATTCTGATTTATTATGTTTTACGGCTCTGGATACAAGTACTTTTTAGCCCCAAACTCATAGTATTTTTAAGTGTCCCCTTTGCTTTTTTAGCAATGTTGTTCTCTTACACGAATACTATTACTAGGCTTCGGTTTGTTATACCTTTTACTAAGCTTGTTTAAAATATCGATGACCGAACAAAAATAGACCGTTTTTTTTATTTGGTTGGTTATTTCAACACATAATTCTACAATATACTGCCCGGCCCCAACTTGTAGACCAATCTATAAACGCTCAATTAAATATCGACAATCAATAATGATGTCCTAGTTTAAATTAGACAGTGTTGGCATGACTATTTGGCTCACTGACTCAAGCCGAAAATCTTGAGCGCGTTGAAGGCAGTGGCGAGCGCCACGTCCTCGGGACTGCGGCCCAGGAAGCCGGCGATCAGCTCTACGATGGCGGGCAGCGCGCACGGCTCGTTGCGTTGGAACGTGCAGTATCGGTTCACGAAATTCATAGACCTGGTAATATTTAAACAATTATATATAACTAGATGTGCTCGCGACTTCGTCTGCGTGGAATAGTGACCTTGACCAAATAAAGAAAAATTATTCAATTTATCTAACAGCTTCAAAAATGTCGAATTTCCTTACAAAACTCATCCCCTGTTTCAACCCCTTATAACCCTTTTTCGCATTAAAATGTAGCCTATGTCCCTTCTCAGGGTCTGGACTATCATTGTACCAAATTTCATTTAAATTGCTTCGCTTGAAAGTGAGACAGACAGACTCTTACTTTCGCATTTAATAATTACTAAGGATAAGCTTCAAGACTATTATCCCAGAAGAATTCTCAATAATAACAATAAATTTCGGTTTGTTGTCATTATCTGCTTCATCCTTATCCCGTTCATTTGTAGTCGGCGTAGTATGTTTTCCTAGTCCATTCATCTCTGTTCGCAGTTATCTCTTTATTTACTCCCTTTCTTGCCATATAATTTTTCACACAGTCCATCCATCTCTTTTTCGGCCTTCCTCTGTCCTTATCATCCACATGCATATATAATACTTTTTTTTAAATATTATGTTCATTCCTACGCATTACATGCCCATACCATGACAGACGATTACTTTTCAACTTCTCCAACACCGGCGCCACTTTCATACTTCCTCTAATGTATTCATTCTTTACCTTGTCCATTCCTGTCACACCATACATCCATCTCAACATTCGCATTTCAGTTGCATGCAGTATAGTCGTCTTTCAATCTTCGCTTTTACGGGCTAACAGTCTGGTCTATACAAGACAGCGTGTGAGTGATTAAGAATTAGGCGACTGTATTATGAATTTCTCAACTTGTAAAAGCGACAGTGTTAGCAACTAGTGTACTCAACTACTTTCATCTGTAGTAATTCAAGTTATTGTAATATCATTTGTTATATTTATTTTTCTAATACTTGTAATATATTGACAAAAGTTTCGCACCATATCGGTTATCAGCTATTAATATGTATATATCTATATATATCTAATCAAACTATTATCTTTATAAACCAAGTATAAGCACGATTGTGATATCCGTTTATCTCCCTTATAGAACATATTTATAATCTTCAATAAATAAACATTGTATCTTAATAAGAAAATATAAATGCATGTTTTATAATCGTGCATTGTTACAATTGTTGACAAATATTCAGAATCTTACTGAAGGACTGTATTTTTATTATATAACCGAAATGGAAGGCTAGCTGACGGTCTATCAGATGATAAATGACAACACATCACATGTGACATCCATGGTACCACTCATGCGTTACCATTCCGGAGAGTAAGATGTCATGCCTCTGAACCTTGTAATTTTACTTCCATTTCTTAAGCTTCAACTGAAACACATCTTACGAAGCAAGCTGTGTAATGGTTGAAATCTCTGGTCAAAAATGTGACAATGACGGGGTCAAAAAACTCATGAAATTCCTATGACATAATTTAAACCATGCCTCCGAACCTTGTAATTTTACTGCCTTTTCTTGAGCTTCAACCTAAAGACATCTTACAAACCATCCGTCGACGCTGTGGTGTCCAACAGTCTACCTCTAGACAAAAATATGACAAGGACGTGGTCAAAAAATAATGAAACTGTGAATGAAAAAATGAATTATGTCATTTACATAATTTACACCATGCCAAAATCTTGTAATTTTACTGCCTTTTTGACCCTTTAACAGTAACACATATTACATAGCAAGCTACTTATCGGCCGATCAACTCACCTCTCCGTTAACGAATCCTTGACGTGCAATGGCAGTTTCGAAGCCCTCATATTCGGGTACATAAATGGCGAATCAGTCTCAACCAGCAACTTATCTAGAGGCAGTATACTCTCTGATAACAGCCTCCTGATGCCCCCATCAGATTTATCCTTGCAGATGTACCCTGTGATACCGAGGTAGAACCCTTTCTCGATATATTTCAACCCTTGTTCCACTGTTCCTGTGAACGAATGGATGACAACTGCTGGTAATCTGTTTCCGAACTCGTCAAGTATTTTTAGAAGGTCATCTTGTGCGTCTTTCTCGTGTACGAATAGAGGTTTGCTTAGTTCACATGCCATTTCCACCTGAAATAAAAAATAAATAATGTACCTTCATGACTTTTATCTCAGAGGGTGTAGTCAGAAACATTGGCTTTATGGATGATAATGGAGTGATGCACACGCCTGCGCTAACGGTTTACGCTGGCGGGGCATCAGTGGAGGACGATAAGATGAGCATGATGTCAGGTCAGTTACCCAATTTTGGCAAATGGCAATCTACCACGATGGTTTCCAGGGAGAATCACGTGGAACCTGACATGGCACATAACAATGGGGTTATAAATCAACATTTACTGGCTTCCTCCTTCATTTATTCATATGGATAGTCGCTTACGGATTTTTTATATTAGTAATGTTGTATACTCATTTAGTATATCTAGTTCAGTCCAATGTTGATGTTGTGGTGAATGCCCCATTGCTGAGATAATAGGTACCTATATAGGTAGAGGGGATTATTAGTAATATTATGTATGTCACCTCAAAAGATTTATGACTACCAGATTTGTATTCATAACCTTTTATGTGTACATCTGTAGGAAACCACTAGTTTATGCTATACTTTTAGCATGTGCTTTACTATCAGATGGGCCGTATGTTTGTTTGCCACTATTGTACCTTAAAAAAAACAAATATTTTAGTGTTGTACATGGCAGTACAGTACAGTACAGTGGCATATTTATCATGTAATGATTAATAAGACTACGATCTATAAGAAGCTGAACAACTATGAAAAATGTTACAAAAAAACGACGGAAATGTCACGCAGACGAAGTAGCGTGAGTCAGCTTGTGCTTATATCCGGGAATGACATCATTATAGGAGAAAAGACACCACCAGCAATCTGGAATGCTTTGGCTACACTCCAACACTGTCAGGACACTAAGACTAAACAGATAGACATAAAAACACTATTTATAGACGTAGACACTTTGTTTAGTACCCGTCGAGTGAAGGATTAGATACAGAAAAGGAAATATAGCGGACTAGCTACTACCCGCGACATCGTCCGCGTAAACACAACAAGGTCGCCGGAACGGCTACTCCCGCGACTTATTCGAGTTGTAAATACGAAACTGATATAATGCTCAATAAATGTCTTTATTGTTCTTATTATTAACAATAACAATCTGATTTTACCTAAATGTCGTTTAACTAAAGTCAGTAATTCGTTTTATGGCAATTGCGTAAGGTTTTACAACAAATTACCGGAGTCTGTTATAAATCTGCCTGAAAAACGATTTAAATGTCATATAAAACAATTCCTTTGCAACTATGCTTACTAAAGCTTACAATAAAATTGAAGAATTCATTAACGATAATAATGTTTTTATAGAAAAACTTAAAATCCATAGCGCTGCTAAATATTATCTGATTTCTATGTTGATTATCGCATGCCTCTTACTTGTTGTACTGTAATTATTTATATAAAAAAAAATCTATTAAAAAGAGCAACACACAATTTTCTTGCTCATTCTTCTTGTTATGAATCTACATTCCGAATGTGTGGTAGAATCAAAATATGACTATTCAAAAGTGCTTATTTGTTAGTGTGTGTGTGTTTAAAGTGAGTTTATTTGATTAAAGATTATCTTTATTTCTATTTCTATTACTGCATAAACTAACAAATTGGAAATAATTTTATTGACATGGGAATGTGACATACATAATGCCGGATATCATGCAGTTAAACAAGATTTATACGACGCTATTCTTCATTGATTAAAACGTAACAGATACCAGCATCGTACACTCAACTTTATAAATATATTAAGTAACAAAGTGGACAACATCATGCTGGTAGCGAAGATTGATTTTATTTAGTAAACTTTATGCCATACTATATAACATATTAAATAGGTCTAAGAATCGGCTACTATCTATATTCCATTCCCCTAAGGGTTGTCCACCCCTAACATTTTTTTTATTTTTTAAGAATGTGACAATAAATAATATATACAACCCTAAATTCACCCTTCTAGCACCAACCCCTATTTTTTAATAGCGATATTAGCAGTTTAATATACGGCAAAAATTTGCTAGCTCAGCTAGAGATATGTATAAAATTATTTTATTTACAGCTAATTATAGAACCTATGTAACTTGCTCAAAATTTTCAGATTTCTATATACGTAAAATATTGTTATTCATTCTGTCAAATAGATATCCTTTATATATAGCCACTGAATTGTAAAACACAGATGAAAAAATGTGTCTGTATGTATGTTTGCTATCTTTACACGACTAAACGGCTGAACGAAATTTAATTAAATTTGACTTGTTAACAGATTCTACCTATCACGAGAAAACGGCTGAATGGCAAGAATTAATGAAAATTTATCTCAAAATAGATATCACGATAACAGACTTATGATATCTATAATTTTTTAGTGTAATCTCAAAAATTACTCGTCTCGTAAGCAAAGTCGAGAGTTAAAGCTGTATTATCTAAAAGAGTTCATAAATTCAATATTGGAAGCAATGTTTAGAATATGTGAGGATGACTGTACATCAAATGCTCTGTAAAGCAATTTACTACGAATTACTTGCACTATTGTAATATATAAGTACTACAATTGATATTCTGGGACATTATTTACAACGTGTATGGTCGTTTGGAAGATCCCATTGATTTGGGGCGTCGTAATCTTTTATTATATTTTCCATATGTTAGCTTCAATACATAGAAGAATAGTGCGTAGAAGGCACTAAAAATTAAGTAAAGCCTAAAATAACAACTTTTAAAAACTAAAGAATTTTTCTAAAATAAAAGTAGCCTAAGTTACTCCTTATTACATCAGCTACTACTACTTTTATTTTAGAAAAAATCTTTTATTAAAAAAAATAAAGTTACATTCCACGCGGACGAAGTCGCGGGAACAGCTAGTGTATAGTAAAATTTCATTTGATTATATTATGGTGTGGATGTCATGCATATGTGAAAAACTGTAAACCAGCGCTGGACGCCCATCAGTCCAGCAATAACTGAGCTAGATACAAGCTTTACCAATCATTATAAATATCCTGTATAATTATGTAACTGTATCACTACTATTATTGGCAATAAATATATTTATTATTACTATTATTAAAGTTATTTTGAGTTTCATATCAGCGCGCACAAACTCACAAAGTCTCAATCTTTGTGTAGGTGCAACTGTTAATCAATTTAACCCCTACAGAGATTAAATTAATGTTAATGGGCGAGTCTTGCACTTGTTATGTTAGTAACAAACAGGGTTAGATCATCTTTCAAATTTTTCGACTGCATTCGACCTCGGTGGTCTAGCGGATAGCGGACTTCCGACGGTCGCAGGCTCGATTCCTCACACGGTACAAACATTTGTATTCAGGATTTGACAGACAGATAAGATTGTTTGTATTGCTCTGGGTGTTTTATATGTATATTATGTAGGGACTACTAATATATTAAAATATTGTTTAGGAAATATAACACAAGTTTTGCTTAGCTTGGGACTATATGGCATTATATGAATTGTCCTGAGTTTTATTATTCTTTCGAAAGAGTGGTAGAATAAAAAAAATATTCAAAAAGGCTTATAATGAGTTTAATTGAATAAAAATTATGTCTATTTAAATCAGTACCTGTCGTTTGAACGTGTCCCGCTGCACGTGTGGCTCGGAGAAGTCCTTGCTGTAGTTGAGTCCGCACTCTCCCACCGCGACGCACTCGGGCGCGCTCGCCGTCTGCCGCAGCTCCATCCACATATCCTCGTCTACCATTGACTTTGCATCGTGCGGATGGACACCTGAGATGAGAAAAATAATAAATAAAATGGAAAAACAATAGAAAGTTGTTAGTAATATGAACTAAAACCTCATTGCTAGCAATATACCATATCAGGTTAACACTGTGCGATTTCCCCTGGAAACCATTATGATAAATTTCGGCTGAATTATTCTCAATGGGCTAACTGACCTGACCTCATGCTTATCTTATCACCACCCCAGACAGACAGACCAAAATTGTAAAAAATGTTCATATGTATGTAGTAGAAAACGGTTATTTCAATATTACAAACAGACACCCCAATTTTATTTATATGTATCGTTTCGACTAAGTTGCACTAGCCGTGCACGAGCTGACGGCTAGTGCAACCTTCATTTGCCATAAAATTATTCGTGTTAAGAACCGTTAAATAAAATAAATAATCTAATAGTGTTCATTGTTTGCAGTAACATGTTACAATAATAGTCACTAACCATTAATAACAATCCCCACTCCCCTGACCAAACCATTATCACATACTACCCCCCATCACTCTAAAGCATTCTGATGCTTTTCATTAGATCAACTCAAATAAAACGATGAACAAATACAGTAATATATAAATTTACAGATCGTGAACAATGGGGTCAACATTCACAATTAATGTGCTTACGTTTATATTTATATCTCATAATTGGAGTGAAACCAAATATTCATTTTCTACTTGCAATTAAATAAGAGATAAAGTGAAAGTGTGTATGTTTACAATAACGTATATAAACACGGGTTTTTAAGGGTGTTTAAACTCTGTAGACGTTAGAACCCCTTTTTTTACGATGGTAAGCGGAAACCGTCGCCTATATACATGGACAACTCCGGACATCATGTTATCACTGACACCTGTGATATCATTTATGCGTTTCACATACAGAGGGGTAAGTTCTGCCTACTTATGAATACAAGTGTTTGTACCGCGCGAGGAATCGAACCCGCGACCATCGGAAGTAAGGCGGTATGCTAAACTGCTAGACCACCGAGGCCGTCATAGTGATAATGTGATAGTTCACAAAGATGAACTGACATTCATTTTCATCTCTCTTCCACCTATCATATTGTCATTTATTGCAGTCACCAGGCTATGATTTTAATTTACTTAATAAATGTAATAGCTACAATAACAAAATAATTTAGATCCATTAAGTGAAATGGACTTTGTTCAGCAGTGGACGTCTTCCTGACTGAGATAAAGTGAAATGGACTTCCGCAAAATAACATCTGACTCGACACAATGTATATGATTTAATGTTTATCTCATTTAATTGTTACGTCACTGACATAACGAGTGTTCAGATGAGATATGAAACTGGAGGACGCGTAACGTAAGTGCGTAAGTATATAGAGATTCTTGCTAAGTCAGTGTTCCGACTATACTATAGAGATCTATAGTATAGTCTATCCTCTGCGTGATGGAGTCACTTTTACTAGTTATATATATATATGATGATATAAGATCAAACCAAAATCAAGTATACAAAATGTCATTTGTATATACACACAAAATATATTTGAACTATTAACAACAGCTTTTGATTTGATTATTAATATAGCTAATTGTATCTTAACATGAATTATGTCATGATAAATTGATATGTTACATACGTCTATTTTTATTATTATATGTTTAAAAAAAATATATGTTAATTTCTTTTTGCATTCTGTCATCAGTAATAAAAGAACAACATAATAAGTCGGACATTTTAATTAATACATATTATAAAGAAAGTTATTTACCTTACCATTTCAATAATAGTACATCTCTCGACTTTTTCTGACATGATTGTCAAAGTCCTGATTAACTATATCAATATTGCGAAAGTAACTTAAGAAGTAAAGTTTAATAATTATTATTTGATTAATATTGTGAACATATAGTTTTCTTTTACTTAGAATACGCATAATAATCCTTGCAACAGCACTACGTGAGCCAATGAACTACAGAAGGCTTAAAAGATATCATGTTTTTTTCACTCATGAGAAAAAAAAGAGTAATGTTAAATCAGACAATTTCTTCACTGGAGGCACAGTTCTCCTCCGTCAGCAGATTCCTACAACAAATCTGCTAAAGCCTCGTTGACCGATCACAAGATAAAGATAAGACAAAAAAATACTTAGAAGAAATCCCTCTTTTGGGATAAGTCCGCCATTGTAGGCATTTATTCGTTAAGTCCATTGTGTCCTTTTATTTATATTTTTTTTTATAACTTCTATTGTACAATAAAGTATTACAAACAAACTTACAATACAGTACACGATTAATATTGTACCTGCTGTGGAGTATATTGTGCCAGGATAGAGCCGAGTCAGTCTGAGGGCTTCTTTACTGTTCCTGACCGATGTGCCAGTGACCATTATTTTCTGGACACCTAAAAATAAATTCTTTGTTAACACAATTGTTAATACTTATATTACTTATATCAAATCAAAATGTGGGTTGAATTGCAGATTATAAGGAGTAAAATATAATGATCTGAATGTAGTAGTCTTTTCAAAAGTTATACAATGTTATAACATTGTATTAAATAACAATTAATATAAACAAAAAGTATCTGTTTTTTTCTTCTTTGCAATGGATAAAATCAAAAGATACTTAAGTATCAGCTTGTAATATCTGTCCAAGTTGAAGTCTACTAACATGTTTAAAGTCTACTCTTTCTTCTTAAATGTTTTTTAAACTTTTTTTTTTTTTTTTTTTTTTTTTTTTTTTTTTTTTTTTTTTTTTTTTTTTTTTTTTTTTTTTTTTTTTTTTTTTTTTTTTTTTTTTTTTTTTTTTTTTTTTTTTTCTAATGTTTAATTATTAGTTCCATTTTCTATATTATATCCCGCAGTACAGAGTGCCTTATGGCAAAGGCCTCCTCTAATTCCTTCCAGTGTACTCTATTTTGGGCTGCTCTTCTCCAGTAGGGGCCTGCTGTCAGCTTGATTTCATCCTCCCAGCGTCTCTGTGGTCTACCTCTTTTTCTTTTTGTTTCCCTTGGATACCATTCAGTTACATAAGTACTCCATTTTTCAGGTTTGCTTCGAATCATGTGCCCAGTCCATCTCCATTTTTGTTGGTCTATCTGCACAAGAATGTCTGTCAAGTTAGTTTTTGCTCTTATATCCTCACATCTGTGTCTGTCTCTTCTATTTATCCCTAACATACTTCTCTCCATGGCTCTTTGACATCTTTGCAATTTCTCCCGCTGTTCTTTGTTTAAGGCCCATGTTTCGCATCCGTATGTCAGACACGGCAGAATGCAAGTATTAAATGTCTTTCTTTTTGTTGACAGTTGTATGTTCTTGTTTTTCATTATCTCTCTCAGAGACCAGTATCTCTTCCATCCACTGGCTATTCTTTTGTTTATTTCTTTATCTGTCTGATCTCTAAAAGACACCACTTGTCCCAGGTAAACATACTCTTCCACATACTCCAAGCACCCACCGTCCAAACCAACGTCAATCTCCATTGAGTTGGTCAGGATCTTGGTTTTTGCAGTATTCATTGACAGACCCACTGTTTTGCTTTCGTTTGACAGACTTTGAATCATAGTTTCAAGGTGTATAGGACTTTCTTCGAAGAGTACAATGTCGTCTGCAAAACGTAGGTGAGTCAAATAGGATCCATTTATATTGAGTCCAAAGCCTTCCCAGTTCAGTTTACGGCAAATGCTTTCCAACACAGCTGAAAATAGTTTGGGAGATAATGGGTCTCCCTGTCGTACTCCTTTATTTATTGGGAATGAACCACCCAAGGTTTCTAATTTTATTTTGGCTTTGCTTTCTGAATATATATTTAGTATTATTTGTATATAAGAGTAGTGTATGCCTTGTTGTTGTAGAGCTTTCCATATATAGCTATGTTTCAGACTATCAAATGCCTTTCTGTAATCAATAAAAGCGATATACAGAGGTTTGTTATATTCGTTGTATTTTTCTATTAGCTGTTTTATAGTGTAGATGTGGTCGATAGTAGAGAAATTCTTACGAAAACCTGCCTGTTCTATAGGCTGGTTTTCATCAAGCTGTTTTGATATTCTGTCTAAGATTATCTTTGCAAATACTTTGTACAGATTCGACATCAAACTTATAGGCCTATAGTTTTCTATGTCATCCTTTGTCCCTTTCTTGTGTATAAGGATTATGTGAGATTCGCTCCACTGAGATGGTATCATTTTTGTTTTTAGTATGTCATTAAAGATCAACATAAGTAAAGGTATTATTTCCTTCATGGCTGCCTTTATTACCTCATTTGGAATGTCATCGGGTCCAGGTGCTTTTTCTGGAGGTAGGCTTCTTATTGCCTTAGCTATTTCCGATGGTAGGATTGTGGGTACTTCACTTTCTGCCTCTCTTAATATTTCAGACTCCTTTTCTAGCACTGTATTTATTTTATCCTTATCGGAATATAATGTTGTATAGAATTCTGTAGCTATTTCTTTAATTAGTTTTCTGTCTCTTTCGCTTTTTCCCTTCTTTTTGAGGTTTGGTATCCATTCTTTACCATATTCTTTAAGTTCTTTGAGAGCTTTTTTTACTCCGCCTGTTTTTTTAATATGTTTTTCCAACGTTTCCCGTCTGCGTTTTCTTCTGTCCCGTCTCATATTTTCTCTAATTTTCTTACTTATCTCTGCTATCTTTCTTATTCTTTCTCTTTCCATTGTATATGTATCTTTACTTAGACTTTTACGTTCTGCTATTAGCTTGTAAGTTTCTTCGCTGAATTTGTTTCTGTTAGGAGTGGCTCTCCTTCTTCCAATTGATTGTTTAAGTTTTAGTTCCATTTTATTATATCTATCTAATAGGTTTAAGTCTTCATATCCTATTTGCGTTAGAGACATAAGAGTGGACTTGTGTGGTACTCCAGAAGTAGGTCGTTGGTTGCAGTATCTATTTATTTTATTTCTATTAAATTTAGGCCTGGGTATCCTGAGGCAACTTCTTACCATGCGGTGATTAGTGTTGAAGTTTAGGTTTTTTATTATTGTTGTATCACTAAAAGCTTTGGGATGGTTGCAACAGATGTAATCAATTTCATTTTTGTACTTTGCATCTGGGGAGATCCAAGTCCACTTGTTGTTTTTCTTCTTAAAGATTGTGTTTAGTATCGTAAGATTGTGCTCCAAAGTGAACTCTATTAGTTTTTGCCCATTGCAGCTCCTTTTTCCGTAGCCATATTTTCCAATTGTAAATTCTTCCTCTGTTTGTTTTTCTCCTACTTGAGCATTAAAATCTCCCATTACTACAATATGATTGTTAGAGTACATTCCAATTGTTTCTGAGAGGTCATTATAAAAGGAGTCTACTACTAACTGTTCGGCCTGTTCGGTAGGTGCATATACTTGTATTATTACCCATTCTTTCAAATATGTAGGAATTTTGAGGCGAACGACAGCTATTCTATCTGTGACACCAATAAATTCGATTATGTCTCTCTTATAATTATTTTTAATGAGAAATCCTACTCCCCTATGGCCACTGACTTCGCCTTTGTAGTACATGACATAATCTGAATTTTCTACTATTCCTTCCCCCACGCGTCGCATTTCACTGATACCCAATACATCCCAGTTGAGATCTTCTAATGCTAGTTCCAATTCTTGTAAGCTTTCTATTGTCCTCAAAGTTCTAGTGTTTAGAGTACATATGTTGAACTTTAAGCTACTTTGTTGAAGAATTAGAGGGTGTTGGTCGCACACCCCACGGTGACCAGCCGGAGTGGGGTTTTTGTATTTTTTATTTATTTTTATGTTTGTTTTATTTTGAAATCTTGCACTTTGGTAGGGATCTTTTACTAATTGCTATTGCTTGTTTTCTGATATTGATTTTGGTTTCTTGTTAAAATAATCCATGACTTTATTTATTTTTTGAGGATTATGGGAAATACTGGTAGATGGAGCATTTGGTGAGCATGATTCTGAACGTTTCCGCTTGTCTTTCTGTGTCTCGTGTACGACAAGTTTATCGTAAGATATATATGCTTTCTTTCCTTTGGCAATTTCTTCTTTCATTTTGATTTTTAACTCTTTACGTTTTAACAAGATATCCTTTGGGAAGTCTTCTGTTACATATATGTTTTTCGGGAACTTACTTTTATTTTTAAGAATTTCAGTTCTTCTCCATGTGAGGGTTAAGGTTATCAAGATAGGTCTAATTTTTGACTCCTTCTTTTTACCCAGCCTCTGTACTCTGCTTAGCTCCCACTTGTCCCATTCCTGTAGGGCCGTTTCTACGCTCAGCTTGTTAAGAGTTTCCACAACTAATTCTTGAAGCTCTGTATAGTTCTCTTCCTTTTCAGTAACGCCATGCAGTATTATATTGTTTTTTCTAGTTTGTTTTTCCATTTCAAGAATCTTCACCTTCAATGATTGTACCTCCTGCTTCAATTCTTTATTTTCTATTATCAATGGTTGTATTTTTTCATCAATTGTTTTTGATATTTCAGTGGTCTGTTTATGTAGTTCTTCTCTCAGTTGGTCTAATGTGATCACCGCGGTATTTTGGCTGGCCATTATGGATTTCTACTATTTGGTAGTTTAGCTTTTATGTTGGAAACACTATGACGTATTTCGGACTAATAGTTTGACGTTTAATGTCTCTTTCAATGTCAGTTGTCAGACTGGTCAGTGATCGTTTCCTTGTGATAGTTGTCAATTTATGAATTTTGGTCGTTAAATATTTTGTTTTCGTATATGTGTTGTTATATATATATTTAGTCGTCTTACTTGATTTTGAAGTTTTTTGCTTGGTCGCAGTGTTTATTCTTTTGTTTTAACCACAATAGAGTTGGAGTAGTTTCAAGCTTCTATTTTGCACCACAATAAACCACTAATTTACGCGATAAATCACTATATTTTAATTTTGATTGCGGAACAGTTTTGTGTACGTGATATTTTGACAGATCCCAAACCGGAAGTCTCTCATAAACGTTTACAATATTAATAAGATCTGAAGAGGCAATAATTATCATGTATTATATATTTATATGAGGGTTAGTAATTATCAATACTTTATCATTACTAATTTGTCAGGTTTCAGATTATATATTACTCCTGTTATCTTTTATTACTGCACAGTTAATTAATAAATGATTTTAAAGTGCAGCTGAATCAATATTGTAATAAGCAACATAGTATAGTGATAAGCAACATTTGTAAATCTTGCCTAACATTTCATCATCATCACATTATTTCGTTATCATTCTATCATTCTTCTCTTATCAAGAAGAGAGATACTTCACATGAGATGAGATAATAAAATGACCATAGTTTTCTGCGATCAGCTTTTCCGGCTATAATCATATATTTTGATGTTATTGGCATTTTGAGATGAGGCACCTCCAGTAAGGTGCCATCTCATTTACTTTCTTTAGATGGCAATGGCAAATGGCTTTTAAATTTAGATGGACAGTTATTTATATCCAGTAGTTTTGAAGTTAACTGGTTCTTATGGCCGGCTAATCTGTGTTTATATCTTCTACAGGCTTTTTGTATCTCTTCTTTTACAGTTGGAATTTCAGCTGTAAAATGACCATAAAGTGTGGCTGAAATTTTCTTGAGATTATGAGATGTAAATTAGCGAAGACTATTGTGTCCATAGATACATAAAATAGAGTAAACCGTGGAGATGTACTCAGGAAAAGTCTGGTATGGTGTTTTCTGATGGGGTGCAGTGTCAATATTATTAATAGTTTCAATTGGTATCAATATGTTTGTTCTTTAATTTACTTGTGTCTACACTTGTACACAAAACTCTAATTATCGTTAGATAAATGATTACCAATGACTACTACTATGAAATAGAACACTTGACTAACTAAACACTATTTTAAATTTTCTTCTGAGATTGTTTACAATTGTACATGTTATATAAATGAGATATTTATTATGATGATATTATTTATGCAGAGAGAAAAAATATTATCCACCGCACAGTGAATTAGGTCATTCAAATATATAAATCTCATAATTTCAATAGAATAGATGGTGTCAAGTCATCACATGAGTGATAGATATATTTTAAAATAATTATATAATCATCACATTGGGAAAATCATCTTGTACACATAACCATTGTGATCGATATTAATTATCATCTAAACATGAGGATGATGCAAACCAGGTTTGTCCTTAGATTTCCTTTTTCATCCAACACAAATATGCTTTATAAATTGTACACCCACACAGATGTGTTTTGTGATTTATTCAGTACTAACCGTATTTATATTACACCAGAATATGAATCTGTTGTCCAAGATATTCGAGACTTAACTACTTTATGTAAACCCTGTGTCCCATAAGACAAATATGTCTCGGATTTTCTAATGCACAGTGATCACTTTAAAAGGGTTTTAGATATATTAAAATTCATTAGAAATTCTATTATTATTCTTATAGCATAATGTATGAGATAAAAAGGGAAAAGTACCAGATAATTAGTCTAAATGCACTATTCTACGCATTCGGCACATGAATTAATTATACGGTTGGTGGAAATAGTGAGTGTCGGCACTGTAATACTGCCGCTTTAATGAATATACGTTACATTAATAAAGTATGTGCTATTTAGGCCAAATATTTACTTCAACTCAACTTACCCGCGTCTTTTGCCCTTTGTACTACAGAATCGAGATCACGGCCGTATTTCTTGTTGGTCAGGTTTGCGCCAATGTCGATTACAATAAGATTCTCGTAACATCCCTTCAATTCTTCCGAGATTTGGGATTCTTCAGACGTCATTCTCAATTTGGTGGAAGCTTATTGGTTTGGTGTTTACCTGAAATTTAACATTATTAGCACCAAATCTTTTGTTTTTAAGTAAATATGTGATAAGGGCCACTTACAATTTGTATCAAACACTCTTGCAAAATAAGCTTCAAATTTTTTTAAGACTAGCCGAAAATATCACCTATTCACTGAACAGCCACCATGTTTCTGTTAAATTAAGTGTTGCCATTACGTGCTCACACTCTTAAAAAATTTCGATGTATCGATTGAGTTTATTTGTGTCTAAACAATTAAATATTACGATACATTAATGTATTTAAATAAAAAATATATTATGTCTTGATTGTAATATAGTTGTGCATGGAGTCCTCAGTTTGCTATTTATTTAGTAATTGAAATGGGTGGGTGGACTTAATTAAAGCATTATTTATTTTTATTTCCTAGATATACTTTTGATGCAAATTTTTAGTAACTACAAAAAAAATAATAACATAAGCTTAATATTCTTAGTAAATTAAACCGATATATTAATATAACCAATGTTTATTATGTTCTAAACGAATTGATATCGACTATTTTGATTCGATCTTAATCGATTGTTTTAGCACTATCAGCAGCACTATGGACATTTTTTTTTACAATAATATTTTTTCTGTTTATGTTTTGAAGGAAAGGTGAAGGGAACTACGCCTATACAGCCATTTAGTTTAGTTCATCTTTCTTTGTCTACGGTAAATTTTAGTTGTCATTTTGACATTTCATAGAAGTTGTTTATAATACGATAAATTTGAGGTGTCCCGTATGTTTCATTATTGTTCATTCGCTGATTACCTACTCATACCGGCAAGCAACATATTTTTAAATTGGCTACATTATTATAAATGAAGAAAATAACCAATCTTTATTAGGAACAGAAATATAACGAAAATAAATAATAATTTACCCAATACTTCAACAAGCACAATTAATCATGAGTTTAGGAGGCTTTATTAAAAGAAATCTTGTAGCATTGGTAATGATACCTTTGATTTTCGGAAGTCACTATGGATGGTACAAGTTGCAAGAAGTAGATAACCTGGTATCAGCCGAAGAAAGAAATAAGCTCCCTATTACGAAGGTATTTGTCCGTTTCAGTACCTTTCCTAACTAAACATTAATAATCTAGTTAATATTAAACAAAATTTTTAGGTTAACAATCAGCTGATTACAGCGACTGTATATTTTTAATTGGCCAAATTCTTTTCTTATAGTCTTGTCATACTAGAGTTGTTGCTTGCTGTGAGAATATTTATTTTAGTTTTTATTTTGTTTCAGCTAATAAAAGACTTTGGTTTTACATCGGACTCAAAATAGGAACACTGCATAGCATAACATCTCATGTAAATATTTACGCCTAGGAATTTATAGTATAGTAATTTATTTATGTTTTTAAAATAAATGACATTATTTTTCTGTGAAATTTTTCATTTACAAAACTTATTTATATTGACAACTCCTAAATTGTATTAATGTAAAATTCAGAACCTGAATCCAAGTAGGTAGACAATTATTAGGTATGGTTCTAAATACCTATAAAATCATATCAATAGCCTTGTTGGTATAATAGTATAACGCACCACTTTGTTTCTGATAGTTGAGGCTTCAATTCCTGGCATGGTACAAACATTACAAATCTTTGTTACTATGATTGTTTGTAGCAGTCCGATTGTTTACAAAAAATATATATCTATTTATATCAGTTGTATTTCCTGTGTGTGTGTTTTTTGTTAGTGTTTAATTTTATGTCCATATATAGGGTACTTGAATTAATAATGAAAGTTCAATCAAAAGGCCACCACTATTGTTTCAATATTCCAGTTTGCAATGTCTTCCTGCTAAAACCTACAGTTTGTGGTCGTCTTAAATAGCTTCTATCATTTGCTTGAAACTTATACAACAGTATTAAATATTGTTAACAGTATTGAACATGTCCAATTTCATACGAGATAAAGTGTTTTTGCAGGTAGTTTTTGAATCACATTATCACTGGCGATGAAAAGTGGATTCGTTATAACAACCCCAAGCACAATAAGTTATAGGATTGCCTGGCCAGCCATCAACATCCTTCAGAAAGCCGATAGTCATGGCATGAAGCTTATGCTCTGTATTTGGTGGGACCAGCAGCATCCTCTACTATTGAACTGCTCAAGTCGAATAAAATAGTCACAGAGGAATGCTATCAGACTCAACTCATGCGAATAAACATTGCACTTAAGCAAAAACAAAGTGATTTTGCAGCATGACAACAATGTTACAAAACTGGTGAATTCTACGTCTCGAAAAAATAAACGCTCATTATTAATTCAAGTACCATATACATAATCTTGTTACTTATGTATTGAGGAGTTTTCAACATACTTCTTGTGGGTAGTAGCAATAATAAAACAAACTGAATGACAATAAGAATAATTTAATCACAATCAATAGTTCCGGTGTCGGGCGGGCGGGGGCGGCGGTGGCGGTGGTGCTAGTCAGATGGTGGGCAGGTGACTCCTCGAGTCCAGCTCCGACTTCTTGCCCTTGGCCGGCTGGCTGCGCTCTGACACTATCAGCTGAGGCAGTAGCGGAGATGACTGCACCTGACCAATTCATATCACTAATGTTATTATATTTGTGTATATTTACAATTACACGATAAGAGGCATGACATCTTATAACATCCATATTTATACGATAGAATAAACGACAATAGCAAATTTACACAAAGAGACCCAACTAAACTAAAAATGCCACCGTGTAGAACTAACTTACATAAAATTAACTCACATTTCAGATCCTCACAAATATTTAATTAAATATTAAATAATTCGAGAGATGCCGTTAAAAAGATTTAATGAACTATAGCTCGTAAAAAATGCCGTAACTCTATGCGAGAATTGGATTTTTTTTTATGGATTTATAATAAAGTGGTGCACCTGACTGCGCTAACTAGGCGATCTAGCGGTTTAACACGCCATTTTACTTTCGATGGTCGCGGGTTCAGTTCCTCGCATGGTACAAACATTTGTATTCATAAGGACGATTGTATCGGTCTGAGTGTTTGTTATGTATATTACGTCTGTATTTACTAAAAAAAATATCTAAGCATTTAATAGTTGTGTAGTACCAATAACACAAGCTCTGCTTACCGTGAGACTAGATGGCGCTGTGTTAATTGTCCAGTGTTATTAATATGAATATAGTTATTGTTTAAAATACACATATATAAATGCATAGTGATATTCTTAAAATAAACATTTGTAAGAAATATCTTCGTCAGATGAAGTACAATCTTTTTTATCATTTCTTTATAAGTGGTACTATCATGTATATGAACTAGAAGTTACATTAATATCAATCTTTTGCCTTTCATTTTCTTTTGCTCTTCGTTTTTTTATTATCTGTGGTGGAGACCGACGGAGTGGACCGAGGGGGCGTTGACTCTTTCTCTGTGTTTGTCGGACGTTGAGCAAAAACGTGCTGGAAAGGATTAAGGATAAGGGTAGGTGGGTACCTATTTCAATTGTGGGATAAAATATTTCGCGACTTCGTCCGCGTGGAATTTAAATTTATTTTTATAAAAAATATTTTTTCTAAAATAAAAATAGCCTTATTGCAGCTACCTGCCAATAAAAGTCCCGTCAAAATCGGTCTAGTCATTTCAGAGATTAGCCGGAACAAACAGACAGACGGGCAAAAATTTTAAAAATGCAATTTTGGTGTTTGAACCGTATTTATATTCATACGCATATAGTAAAAAAACGATTATTTCAATATTATAAACAGACACTCCAATTTTATTTATATGTATACATATATAGAGCGACATTGGTTGCTAAAAAGGAATTGAATTTTTTTTTGCAATTAACATATAAGCTTAAGGCAGACCGTTACCAATAGGTGGACCTATTGGTAACGGTCTCGGTGGTCTTTTTAGCACACCGCTTTACATCCGATGGTCGCGGGTTTGATTGCTCGCACTATGCAAACTTTGTATTCATGAGTACGATTGTTTGTATCGGTCTGGATGATTCCTATGTATTTATAAAAAATCTATATAAGTATTTAGTTGTCTATCTTGATGTGAGTTAATTATGTTACAATCCAGAAATAACTCGAATGTCTGCACCTGAGCTCTCCTGGCCTTTTCGTATTCCTCGTGATCAGAGTGGGGAACGGTGAACAGGAAATTTTCGAAAATAGGATGCCTGAGCAGCTGCTCACACGTCCACCGCATCATCGGGTCCTTATCCAGGCATTTCTGTAGAAGAAACCAGTTCTTTAGCATATTTTTTTATTATTCTTTATTGCACTATAAAGAGTGTACAAGAGGCGAGCTTAATGCCATATGGCATTCTCTACCAGCTAACCTTTGGGTAGAACTAGAAAGCGTTGTAGGGCAGTAATAGCGAAAATTTGTGATATTAATACTGTACTAAATAATTAGGCAAACAAAATCTATGTACATATATAATTTATGTTATATAAATAAATAAATATATATATATTGAAATATATAAATTATACAGAATAAATACATAAATACGCTAAATATAGTTGAAAGTACCTACTTAACTCAACGCCAAACAGTTAAAGCTCATTTTGACGACTCAACAGGTAATTAAATAGTTTCGTTTTAAAAATGCATATGTGATGAGCATGAAGCCAAGGTAGCCAATAGTGTCGAATATTTATTTAGTCGATTTATAGTGACAGTAAGGCATTGATAGCAATGGAGCTACCAATGCCTTACTCTCCTGGTTGAGCTGCATACTTAACATTTTATCTGCTTTCTAGCAGCTGAAGTGGAAAGTTATTTTTTATGGATAATAATGGAATGGTGCACCCTCATGTGCTAACGGTTCACGCTGACGGGGCACCAGTGGAGGATGATAAGATGGGTGTGAGGGCAGGTCAGTTAGCCGATCATGATAAATTCACCAAGAATTTATCACAATGGTTTCCAGGGGAAACCGCGCTGAGGTCAACCTGACATGGTACATTGCTAGTAATAAGATCATCAATCCACATTACTAACAATCCCCTTTCCCCCCAAAGTGGTAAGTGTAGCGTCCCTAATGTAGGTCGTTGGCAGTTAGAGAGTTAATTGGTCATTTATTTTCAAAAATCTCCGATCATCCCTCGAGTCTCAAAGTATCTAATACTTTTAACTACGAGTATCTTCTTACCTACGACTCAACTCTTCGGAGGTAGATAGAAAAACCAACTGTCATACATTTTATTAATCCTTCCGCACAACTCGTTTCACTTATAACTGCTTACCTTCAAAAAGTCTACAACCAATTCGTTATGTGCATATCGTTGTGGAATTTTCTTCTCCAAGGGCTCCAGTGTTGTCGGTTCCGGCAGTGCCATACCCTGCATTTACAACTTTATATAAATCACATTTTACCTGTAACATTGTGAAATTATAAATTCTTTACATTGCTTTTATACTTAGATTAATAAACAAATAAAACATAAATCGGATTTACATAAAAGATACTGCTAACTGAAGACCATTAAATAAAATTATTAATGTAGGACATTTTAGCCGCTTATGAACGCGCGTATTTAATTTTCTAGATAGAAGTTTCGAATCATCCTTCTAAAGATAAACAAAATAAATGCCATATATACTCATTTTATGGAAGAAGTTCAAAATTGACGAATGTGGTCCTTGTAAAAAGCCATTTGCACGTAAACATGGGTGCAAAATTATGTCTTTTGGCTGTAATGGTGAAGGCATAAGGCATTGCAATAAAATAACAAGGTCTGTTTTTTAATTATTTCTTTTGACAAAAATGCAATAGCACACACTGGTAGTAACTACATTGTCCCTAATATGAATCTATATTTTTGTAATTATGTATAAGCTCATTTAAGAATTATAAGAACTGAGTTTCTTGCCAGTTATTCTTGGCTCGAAAGCACTCCGACCTGACGGTAAATTTGACATATCATAAGAGTATGTAATAGACCTACATGAATAAATATATTTTGATTTCAACGCATAACTTATTCTCGAGAATTGAGAAAGAGAGCTACTACGAGCGTATAATGTTTTATTTATGACATGATTCTGTCCATATATATAATTATATGTTAGCAGTTGAAGTCTCAGGTAGATCAGTTTTTTTATCTTTTCTTGTAATAAAAAATAATATTACCTGAAAAAATGTGTTCTGTGAGAAGATAGTCATATGCCTGGGTAATAGGTCGCCCAGGGTCTTCCTTATGAGATATAACTGATCCAAATCACTCTTCCCGGGCCACATGGCTTCGCTCGATAATAATTCGGCAAACACGCACCCTGAAAGTATTTTTTTTATGTTACATTTTGCAAGGGTAGTAAACCCTTGCAATCCATGCTCAAAAAATATTTCGAAAAACATTTATCTGGACGTAGGTAATACAATGTTGATATATATCTACTTTATTATTCATGTTTATTAGGACTTCAGGATCTATACGTCGTGGAAATCCCACATATTCGCACTGAGCCATTCGCGTCGTCTTTTCTAATAAGTACACACTTGCTAAAGAGTGGAACACACTTCCAGCTTACATGTTCCCGGAGAAATACTAACTCGGATCCTTCAAGTCTACGATGAATAGATATCTTCTGGGTAACCGCTACATCCCGGGTCTTGCCATCATTTTCTATCAGAAAGACAGATCAAGTCCAATCCCATTTATAATAAAAAAACAAAATCGATTTGTACCGTTAATTTACAAATTGGTTAAATATCATGGTGATTAAAATCTTGACCGCTTACGCATTATACGCCTACATAATATCATCATCTGCTTCATCCTTATCCCTTTAGGGGTCGGCGTAATATGTTTTTCTCTTCCATTCATCCCTGTTCGCAGTCATCTCGTTATTTACTTCCTTTCTTACCATATCATCTTTCACTCAGTCCATCCATCTCTTTTTCGGCCTTCCTCTGCCCTTATAACCATCCACATTCATATGTAACATCTTCCTTAAAACATTATCTTCATTCCTACGCATTACATGTCCATACCACGATAGACGATTACTCTTCAACCTCTCCGACACCGGCGCCACTTTCATACTTCCTCTAATGTATGAAAGTGGCGCCGGTGTCGGAGAGGTTGAAGAGTAATCGTCTATACGCCTACATAATAATGGATTAAAATATAAACGCCTGTTTAATTTAGAATAACAAAATAGATGGTAATATTTTTTGCTGTTACGACTCCATCAGGTTTTCTAGAGTTATAACAATAAATTTGTTCATAACTATAATCGAAGATAGGGTAGACAGAGATAACATGACTACTAATGATCACATACTAATGACCGTAACTCTTGACATGTCCATATTTCGTCAGGTATATTGAATACCAACATGAGTGGAGCCGCTTTTACAGTTGTCATTGGTATTAATTGGTTTGTTATCGATATTTTTCTTGCCGGTGATTTAGTCAGAAATTTACAGAAAATTTTCTGTTTCAAACATATATTTGTCAACGACAGATTCAAACCTACACCTTTTGGGTACAAACGAGATGGTGGTACCATACAAAGATTGTATGACCCATATTTCAATATCAATAACACCTAATTATGCATAATTTTATTGAGCGCTTACTCATAAAATATTTATATCTACTTAAATAAATAATTTATATAAATTACTATTTATTAGTATTACCCAATATACATAATCAGCATATTTGATAGGTAATAAAATTAACATTGAGAATATGGAATGGTTACTGCAATAATGTAACTGGTTTTGTATAATTATATAGAGCGGTACCTATACCGCCCATTTTGGTATGAATTTAGCACGCAACCCTGAATAAATAATTGATCACTAACTTTATATGTTCTTTACGAGAAAACTAAATATAAAACATAAGAGTCAAATTGAGAATATTTCGTTATTATTAAAAAAAAAAAAGAAAAAGATACCTAAACATGGAAATCCAAAATGAAAGATTTACTCAAAACCTGTAAAAATTTGATCGGTTGAAACAGAACAACAGCCTCGGATGGCATAGTTAGGTCATTGGCACTCAGGCACTCCCGCCAAATTTTGTCCGAAAACCCCTCAAATTGCAGGTGTTGGAAAGAAATTCCCCAAGAAAAAAGTCTGTATACTGTCAACGACCTCACTTTAGACTGTTCTACATTTCTTATTAGGTTCAACAAGTTAATTTTAAAGCTTGTATTTATGTTTTTACGCCTACATGGACGTCAGAAGCTCTCCAATTTACATTTCCCCGCACCTCCACTCTATAACCTCCTACACAGATATTTCCCTTATCGCTATTAAATCCCAAAATTTGGGGCGAAACCTCCCAATCTGGCAACACTTCCCCCGGCAGACCAACGGATGTCAGATCCATTTCAACTGTAAGTACTCACCTATAGCCCAAACATCGACTGGTGTGCTGTACATGGTATCACCCACCAACAGTTCAGGCGCTCTATACCAGCGCGTAGCGACGTAGTCCGTGTAACTCTCGCCAGGACCTGGGCATGTATAGCAGAATACACCTGTTAGTTACTCGTTCTTTCAGTTTCCACTGCTTTATAGCTGCATGCAACTTGCTTTGTAAGCTGTGTTTCAGTTGAAACGTAAGATATCGCAATGAAGTTACTGGGTAGCCATGGCATCTTTGACTTCTGGAATGGTAACGCATGAATGTTATCATGGTCAACCTGATATGACGTATTTGACAATCAAGGGGATTGTCAGATACGTCCCCCCTAGACAAAGTTTTTTTTTTTAATGGATGATAATGGAATGGTGCATCCGTCTGCGCTAACGCATTACGGGGCACCAGTGGAGTATGATAACATGTACATGAAGTCAGTTCAGTTAGCCCATAGTGACAAATTCACTAGCAATTTATCATAATGGCTTCCGGAGCAAACCGCGTGGATTCAATCTAAAATGGTACATACTAGCAATGAAGTCAGTCCACATTACTAAAAATTCCCTATCCCCAATGATTAATCTCCTTACTAGAAATCCTCAGACAAACAATTTTTTATATAAACGAATATGGATCTTATGGATGATCTAATGGAATGGTGCACTCGCCTGCGCTAACGGCTTACGCTGGCGGGACACCAGTGGAGGACGATAAGATGAGCATAAGGTCTGGTCAGTTAGCTAATCGTGGCAAATTCTCCAGAAACTTAACATCATGGTTTTCAGGGTGAACCGCATGGAGTTCAACCTGACGTGAGACATAGCTATCAATGAGGTCATTAATGCACATTACTAACCTCCCATCCCATTCCTTCCCCCAATATGGCCATGTCACTCAGCCCTTAGTGGTTAATTCACCAGATCAGCTTTTCCAGGGGGGATCAACTTGGCATGATATTGATAGCAATGGGGTTACTATGTCCTATTACTAACAGTCCCCTCCCCCCAGACAAAGGTTTTTTTTGTGTATGATAATGAAATGGTGCACCCGCCTGCGCTAACGGTTTACGCTGGCGGGGCACCAGTGGAGGATGATAAGATGAACATGAAGTTAGGTCAGTTATCCCATCGTGACAAATTCATCAAGGATTCATCACGATGGTTTCCAGGGAGAACCACGTCGACCTAACATGATACATTGCTAGCGATAGGAGTTACTATTTCCTATTACTAACAACCCCCCCCAGACAAAGGTAATGTATTATATAACCTTACAGCCTGAAGTTAAAAATATGAAGACACGCAAACTTGATTAATGTACTTCCAGACACGACCGGCAAAGACTACCGCTAACTTAAAACCATTGTGTAAAGCCTTGCTGACTCTATTTTTAGTCTCACGTATTGTGTATAGAGTGTATTGTGTTACGCAGATTATGAGATTTAATGACATCTTGTATTTTCTATTATAAATGCAGATTACGAGAAATTACATTATCCTGTAATTCTGTGGTGATATTATAAATAGATAGGAACATTATCTGTCTGTTTGAACATTTTTATTCCTAAACAGCTGCATAATTTTTATTAAATTTTAATATAGGTAGAAACATATAATAAAGAAATTAATACAATGACCATATTTTTAATATATCACTAAAAAAAACCATTGAATCAGTGACGATAACCTGAAATATATCATAATACGTCGTGATATAGTTTAGTTTTCATCGCATTCATTTCAAACGGCCTCGGTGATCTAGCGGAATGGCATACTGCCTTACTTCAAATTGCTCGCATCGCATCGTTTGATTCCTCGCGCGGTATAGGTAAACATTTTTATTAATGAATATAATTGTTTGACTGGATATAATTTGTCTGCATATTCTCTATGTATAATATATATATACATATATACATATATATATTCTTTAAGCGATAAAGCCGCCGTTTGTGCCCTACTACTCTGTTAATATTGATTATAAAGAGTAGATACCTATAATTAATTCAATTATTCCCCGTCAACCTTAAAAATGAAGGTAACACCTTAGTGTTTCAAGCGTTCATAGGCTACGGTAACCGTTTACCATCAGATGGGTATACCGTACACGTGTTTGCCATCTACTGTTAGCTTCAATACATAAAGAACACTCAGTTGACTAATTTGTTACTTACATTTCAAATTTAAAACCATAGCGAGTCACGTGATGTTGGTGGCATCACGGTTATGCCGCCACCAATAGGAATAGAGATAAAGAGGCCGGGAACATGGAGGGAGCGGGCTGCTCTCTCTTTGTTCGAGGCGACTGAGACGACCAGACGTTAATGTACAGCGACGCAATTCATGTGGAGTGTAATTTGGTAAAGGAATAAAATAAAAGTACTGCAGCATCGACATATCATTTCTGAAACTTCCCAATACTACGTAGTATAAAATATATATAGTTATACCTATATAAATAATGCCAAAACGCTCTCAAGGTTAATATTGTTTTATGAAACAAAGTAATCAGTATTCAAGTTGTTTCTTGCCACATATACACAATAACATTTCATACACAGTTATTATCTTGTTATATTATTGTGAGGCAATAGATTGTACGTGCTTATGCCAATACGGACCTTGTATGGATATGAAATATTTACCAGCCTGAACGTTTCCCAATATTGCTAAATTTAATTACAACCTCCATACATATGGATAGATGTATGGATGTATGGACATCCATACATCTACACTATTATTTTAATGCCATAGTGTTTCTCTCTGTTTATTTGGTTGTTAGGTTTTTACTACTTTACGACTTTTTTAAGGTCATTCCTTAAAAAAGATGGAATGGTGCACTCGTCTGCGCTAACGGTATACGCTGGCCACCAGTGGAGGATGATAAGATGAGTATTCGGTCAGGTCAGTTAATCCATCGGGGCAAATTCCCAAGGAATTAACATGATAGTTTTTCCAGGGAAAACCGCGTGGAGGTCAACCTGACATTGTACATTGCTAACAGTCCACATTATTAATAGTTCCCTTTATTTAAAAAATACCTAAATATATCTAAATATTTATATCAGTTGTCTAGTACCGATAACACAAGCTCTGCTTACCGTGGGACTACATGGCGTTGTATTAATTATCGACGGTTATTTATTATTATTCACTAGTTCCGCTAGAATATACCATTAGTACAATCGAGAATATAATTCCATCACGATCAATAAAAAAATTCGCTAAAAGTATTCCGTATTCCAAATCCATAATCGAATTCATTATGGTTTCTTAACGTCACATTAACGGCATAGCTAATTAAATATACTTTTACTAATACCACTCAATCATAGAGTACCTGTATAATAGGGCGCAATATTTTCCAGACGCAACCAACGGAAATACAAATTTACCTATGCGAAGGTCAAGGTTTCACAAGCAGGTTACATAACGAGACGAGTTAATGAATGGCTGCAATCAGTAACCAGTTTCCAACATAACTATCTGTGTAATTGCAGATCAACGACCCGTACACACCGCGGTACGATAATGGTGTCATATCACAAGAACGTAACGCATATCTAGTGCAATATTGAATGAACTTAAATGTTATACACTTTGGAAAAGGGACTTTAAATCTTTAGGCTTAAAATCTAATTTGAAAGCAATATATTTTTTGAGTTACGCCAGTATTATATTAAGTGTGCGTGTACTGATTCAAATTCAAATATCATTTGTTCATGTAGGATATTTTAACACTTTATGAATGTAATTTTTTTCATAATATATTTTTCCCTACCGTGTAGCTCAGTATACAGATTCAATTGAGAAGAACTGGCAAGGAATTCAATTGAATTTCTTATTTTTTTTGAAGCCAGTTCCCATCACAAGGCAGTAAGTGAATACTAGTATTGATTCAAATTAAAAAATCATTTATTCATGTACGATATTTATAAATGGTTACCCTTATTCAGTATACAGATTCAATTGATTTACGGGTACTAGAAAACTGATATAAATACTTAGTTTTTTTGTGACTACAAACTTATATATAGAAAACACATCAATATGGAAATATTTGCATCGTGCGAGGAATCGAACCCGTGAAAAGCGATGTGCTAAACCGCTAGACCACTGAAGCCGTTAAATATCAGATTTTTCAGAACCGTTTTATCAGATTTGGATAATTGATTTTTGTGGGTGAAACCTCTTGAATAAAGGCATGGCTAAAAGCACGATTCGTTGGCACTACCTGGACGTTGTAGATCCACACAGGATATTATATTACATAGTATAAAACAAAGTCGTTGTCGCTGTCTGTCCCTATGTATGCCTAAATCTTTAAAACTACGCAACGGATTTTGATGCGATTTAATTAATAGATAGAGTGATTCAAGAGGAAAGTTTATATATATATTACAGATACACCCGTGCGAAGTCGGGGCGAATAGCTAGTTATTATTAAAATAATCTTTCATTCTAAGTAATACTCAATATACAATATTCATACTCATTCATCATTTATAATATATTTTCCTGCTTACACTTTTCCCAATCCAACTTATTATATTTCAAGAACATAAAACACATTTTACAGAAACAACTATATAAAAAAAGTTTAAAATTTAAATTTCGAATACTTTGTTCAGCCAGTTGCACAAATATGAAGTTAGTTTATAATTCCACATTATATGAACCGAGTCATACGAGTACATTATGCAAACGAAGCCCACACGTGTTCTGCGCGGGCGCATTGCTGAATTGCAACAAGCTAATTTTGACACTACGAGATACGGCCGGACGGACGGACGGATATTACCATAGTCTATGGCACAGACGCTCGTATAACTATGCCACGGTCAGTTCACCATAAGTATACGATTTATTCAAATCTGGCCCTCAATCGATTTTGTAACTGAACGCACTTTTCTTCGCGTTGAGATTTGTTTGACGAAACACCGTCTCGTTTCGTAAAATACATTACCTTTGGCTATTTTTTGTACAAACACTGTGGTAATCAGACGTAAGTAAATACGATTTTTAAATCAACCTCGAACTCTATGAAAATAACGCAAAATGTATTTTTTAATTAATAAAATATATTACAATA